TTTAAGACGAGCGTTAACGCGCCGCGGATTACATCTCCGGCGAGGTCTGCTGGCACGGTNTGGCTGCCGTTGCGCTCGATAGCCTCCAGGACGTCGTGAAGAAAGGTGCCGAGGGAAGTAGCATGCTCGCGTAGCGGGGTAGGCCATGTCGCCCTTCGCGGCCACGGCGTCGCCATAACGCTTCAGTNGCAGTGGGCGCTGCTTCTGAAGTGCTGACGGGTCGTAGAGCGTGTCAGGCTAACTTTTANGTGCGATATACTGCGTTGATTCCAAGAATTACAATACTCGCTGTTGTCGTGTTTTTTCGCACTGCTCCCAATCTAGGCTGGTTTTCGGGTGTCCTGGCGCGCTTGGCAAAAGCACCATACAGTCACAGTCCTAGCGTCAGCAGCAATAGGTTACAGCTAAACTACTTCAAGCTAGGATTGCGGGGCCTCCTTATCACCTTATCTAGCACTTCTAGCAGACGGTCTTGTATTTAATTCGCTCCGAGGTCTTAAAAACCAACGGCTGCATCTAATTGGCCAGACTTCGTAATAGGCTGCGTCATTTCCATTTCCCTCCATTTTCCTTCTACCCCCGAAACTATGACGGAACCGGACACATCTAGTGATCTACCAACGCTTCGTATCTTCTGCCCCATAGGAACAACAGGAATCTACGCCTATTACGAAGGGCGCACATGCCCCTGGCGCTCCTTAAACTGGTATGATGAGACCTTGGCCTTGGGCGTGGCTGCCTACAGCATCGTCAGCGGGGACTCAGCCCTTCTCTTTGACGCAGGTCTGACGCCTGCTTACGGGGCGCACATGCTTGCCCATGTACGAAGTTTAGGCGCAAGAAGTGTGAAGACGATATATAGCTATTTTCATGCTGATCACATCGCTAGGGCTTCTGCTTTGCGGGACACGAAGATTGTTGCACACGGAGGCACGCAGGAGAGAATGAGGCAGAACGCTGAGAAGTTGAGAAACCCGGATGAAGGCGGAGGACCCAGCATCGACGTTGTGTTCCCCACGGAGACCTATGAGAAGAGCCTGTCGCTCCGAGTCGGCGATATCGTCGTCGAACTGCATAATTTCCACATTCACACCGCAGATTCTACGCTCCTCTTCCTCCCGGATGCAGGCTTGGTTTTTGCTGGCGATATGCTCGGGGATACCGTGACGTATATCTCCGAGCCAGAGGATCTCAAAACTCAACTACAGGAGTTAGAGCGTATGGCGCAATTACCTATGACGAAAATCTTTCCTGCGCACGGCAGCCCAGACCGGATCAAAGCTGGAGGTTTTAATAAGTCGTTGATTGACGCCACGATCCAGTATTTGAAGGCATTGGATAAACCTGTTAAGAAGCCTGTTGCCTAGGAGAGAAATCTAAAAGATGTGGTAAAAGACGATTTAATGGCAGGGAGACTAATCTTTTTTGAGGCATACGAGGGCGTACACCAGGAAAACATTGAGTCCATGAAGGAAATACGAAAGGAAAGTACCGCCAATATGATGAAGAGGAGCGGAGAAGGCAATAGTGATATATTGACCTAGTTCGTATGCCCTGTAGGATGCCTACTGTTTTATATAGGTACATTCCTTATCTCTTGTTGGCATTGTGGGCCAGCCCCTGTATCTATAATCTGTCGCAATGCTCTAGATAAGAGGATATTTTCTGCTTCTTCATTGTGAGTTATATCAGCTCGAAAGTCTCTTCAATCACAGGATCACTCGCCAATCTCTCCCCCTTCATCCACTTGTCATTGCAGAAGAAACATGGCGCCAGAACCAAATATATCCCTTTCCGTTCCTTCCGTAGGACAAATGGCACACGTCCGCCGTAAAGAATGACAACATCATCGCCGGCCTTAACCTTCTCGGAGGTAAGTACGAAGTCGCCATGAGTAGTGCAGTAGAGCTTTTAATTCTCAGCCAGTAGACATCCCATAGTAAATGCAACGGACCTTGAGCGCAGTTCACGCTCGTCCATATGGGGCAGCGGAGCTTTTAACTTCCCTCGTATTCCATCTTTGTGCTGCAATGCTGGAAAGGCAGTATGGCTTTTGGCGCGAGCCTGGCTTTCTATATACAGTTTTTGCAGATTATTACTCTCGCGCTTTAATACCATAACAGGCTGTCGACTAGGTTTAATAACTATATAGTAACTTAGGTCGGCGGAGATTTCGTCTTAGAGAGTTTGAGGCGCAAGGACATTCTCTATTCGTGCGATGCGTACGCCTTGGAACGATAGAGAGATGGGTAAATCAGTGGGCCGCACGATCGCTAGTCTTCTACTAGATGCATTGTAGACCCTATACTTCGCAGAGAAGCTGTCTTAAAAACGTTCGTTAGATGCAAAGATGTTTGTTACCTATAAGAGGGCTTCCTACAGCAGGGGATTATCGCGGGTCGTATCTACAGCTATAAGGTAATTAAGTGGACTAGCTATTTCCGATAACGGACTAATATCCAATACCGATATTACGTTGGAAGTTGCTGTGTCTCGAGAGATAGGATATTCCCCATTAGTCGCATCTTTGTAAGATAAATTATAACTAACGGTCAATAGTTTCTCTCTTAATCTCTTTAATCTTATATTATAAGCTATGGCGGCAAGGTCCGTCGAATCATGTTGTAAGTATGATCTCACTTTCTGATTTCTAACACCCCTCTAAAAAGAATGAGAGCTACTGTTGTTACCGCCTCTACTATTCTTGTCATTGGGTGATATAGAAACGCGAGACCTCGAAAGCTGCCATCGTCTAAAGTTCTCTATGACTAGCGTTAATAGTCTTGTATAGTTAGTATGAAGGAGGGGCTCTAGTTTGAATACGTCCGAAGTATCTGACCTGAGCTGAAGGAGCGCGAATAGTCGGTCGCGAGGATTATTCGACTCGAATGCAACGGTCTTAGAAAGGTAGCCCTCGATAGAAAGTCTAGTAGGATCCGTGACATCCAGCGAGCGCCCTAAGAGTACTAACCAGGAATGGTTGAAGAAATCTATATTATGACATCGTGTCTTGCGAATAGTAGTCCCGAGTAAACGCGCAAAATCCACCAGTTCGTTCCACTGCACCTAAGACTAGCCACTAAAAATAGTGACTCTCCGTGCGCTATTCCGATCTATTTGAACCATTACGACTTCCTGAATGACCTAGATTCTGCGAAACTAAGGACGGGAGAAATAGCGGTCTGTACAATCTATAATCAATTTTAGCATGACGGATGGTGTAGGCGTGTCTTTAAATATTGCGTGGAGAAACTCAATAGCATCACTACTAAGAGATTTAAGCGCAAAATAGTCCGTAGTGAGTTGCATCAGCTTTTTATTGTTTAATACCTTTTTATACTAGCGCATTGCATCGAAATCCTACAAGCCAAAAAGTGGTGGTTCATCCGCGGTATAGTCATCCGAAGCTGGATATCTTTCTACCAAAGATAATTCAGGGACACTAGACGCAAATACTTTCTAGGCCTCGACCATGATATCGCTATACACGTCCGCCTCTCCTAACCAGACCAGTATATCCGATGCTGAACTGTAAACCAAGCCCATAGAGCTGACTTGTTGAGTTTTTTCGACAGCATTGTCTTGCGCTATATAATAGCATTAATCTAAAGAACTCTATATTTGTTAGGTTATTATAGTGCGCAAAGGAGTGCATTAAGATTTTATATTATCTAATATAGTTGCGCCGTCCACGCTTATTGTAGGCTCTTTACTATTGCTTCTTTTATTTTAGCGCATTAAAGGGTGAACCTAAGTATATCTTTAATCTCGCCCTAGTAGTATAAGACCGTTTAGTAGAATATAGCTGAAGCATGGGTTTGCGGTCCTCGCAACTAGAGATAACTAAGAAAGCCCGAGAGAGGCGCGTCGCCTTCGCCCGGATCAACAGCAACATAGCGAATCTCGTTAACCTCTAGATTAAGGGGCAAATAGGTGGATGTATCGTTTCTAACCCCTTGAAATGGAAGTATAATATCACTTATTGTTGCACCAAGGCCTCGCTTCTTGCGTAGAGGTCCAGCTGCACGACCTTCCAAAGAGGGCCTGCTGCGCTTTATAGTTTTCAGACTTTGAATTGAAAATTTGCTAGTTTATATAGATTTCGAAAAGATTCGTGACTGCTATGCACTTTGACAATGCCCCTTTTTAGAAAATTAATATAGAATGAACGTATTGGCTTGTCTCAGCCTCTTGTCTTGACACAAGCTGATTGGCGGCTCAGCCTGTCTCGCATCCTTCTGTGGATCACGTACATGTCAGCGATGTGAACCAATGCACACGCACTTCGTTCAAGCCAATTAAAGCGTTCATATCGAAGCGTTACATAGCTGCTAAAACACTGCTAAAATACTCAATAGTAAAGACGTAGGTGGTTGTGTTCTACGCTGGATAACTAGGTACAGCAATGTCGTTTAGTAATACCATCACAGCAATGGATCATTCATAGTGGCGCCCCTCACTACTGAGCGAGAAATACTATACGCACAACACGTATAGAAGAGATACTTGCCTGGATTTAGTCTAGTTAAGAGGTTTCTCGCGAGTGCGGCCGTAAGCAAAAGAAAACCCTTTGCCCTAAAGCATATATATGTCTGCGCAAAAGTATGTTAGTATCGCCCGCTAAAAAGGAAAAGAAGGCAAAAAAATCGAAACTCTCCAGCGGGGAATTGAACCCCGGTCTCCCGCGCATTGTCATATGACAAGCGGAAATACTGACCACTATGTCACTATGCTGGTTGCCAGCATGTCCGCTAAATTTCTTGTTTTGTGTGGCGCATATCCGTTAATCTCTGTGCTTTTAGTTACTGCAACGGGAACCCGTTCTGGGACTACGGCTTGCCAAGCTATACTAAACTACCGTTTCTAGGTATATTAGCCCTGAGACAGGAGCTTGATTTTCACCCCCTTGTATGCTGGGTACCTTAGTGTATTGGTGGCGCTTTTTGCCTTAAAGCAGCAGCGCAGCGTTTAATCATCAACACTGACTGGCTTCATGCTCTGGCAGGTCCACTTTTAAGGTCATCTTTCCATAAAACACGTGATGTTGAGGCCGCACGCCTACCACACACCAGGCACGGTCAACTTTTGACCAATCATGTCGTGACTCTATCATGCCCCAGTGGCCATTCAAGCCAGACGCTCACTCTTACAATCAACTCCACGATCGTCTATACAATGCCAGGTCGAAGATCGCGCCGTCGAACCGGGTTCCAAAATATCGAGTCGGCATGGGCACTGCTCATAGATACATTGAACGACATTGAGTTATCACAACGCTTAACGAAACGCCATAATCAGCGCATTGAGAAAGTTAAGGCAGATGAGAAGACAACGAGGTCGGGAGCCTCCCTTAAGCAACACAAATTTTTGAAGAGAGTATCGGCTATCAACCCTGACTTTCATAAGTTATGTGTTGTCGCTTTCTCGCAGAATCAAATCAGCTTCACGAAAAACGCTATACTTGACGGATTGGTTAAAAAGATTAGGGGACAGCGCGATGGCACAATCATTTCTCCTACCACGCGATCGCTTTTGCATCGTTCGGAAGACGATATTAGGCCTATACCACTACCCCAAGAGACTATTGAACTACCAAAAGCCCCGTCAGAGCCTTGGGTCGAGTTAAGATACGCCGAAAGAGAGGGGATTGAAAAGGTTTTTGGACAATATCTACTGGACAGAATTGAGAACACGGATCTGAGACAAAACTGGAGAGCAGTCTTCATGCGCCTGCCGATGTGGCCACAAGATCTTTCTGGGCCTTGTTTTATGTCATTGAACCTTCGCGAAGGAAGTGTTAAAGAGGTCGCGATGGCATTGTTCAAGGTAGAAGTAACTTAGAGGACGAATGCCTTTTGGATCATTCACGAGAACGGATTGTTGCAGATTATTCCTCATTCTTAGTATACAATGAAGGGCGTCTCGGATGAGGACATTATCGCCGTTTTCGGGGCAGATATACATGCTGCAATCACTACATGTAGCATCAGAGCGAACGAGTTAAGAGAAGGGGATAGGAGAACTAAATGTGTATCAATTACTTTTTCAGAGAAGAGGGCTGTAATTAATCTGATATTGAGCGTATCGGAAGGTGTCAAGATCCAGAGTAAGCTCAGTGTGTCCGCCAAATCAGGATAAAATCTTCTTCAATCGAACTCTACGAATTTTCCTTTCGCAATGTATAACTCCCATCCTTCTTCAACTATTATTCCTCCATTTTCATTATGAGGTAGCCGCGTACGCTTCTCCTTGCCTTCCTTATCTTTCTCAAATACAGTAACACTGCTATTTCTCCATTCTACTATTTGGCCTCGACCCGTTACTACCGTGGCAACATTATCCTTTACATGTGTAAAATCTATATTTGCGTTAGGCGGCTGTACTTTGTTGGTGTCGAAAGTCTGGAAAACATTAGTTACGAAATGAGAGGAACAATCCTACCTACCATCAAGACACGATGGTGAACAAGAAGAGCGTCGAGCGAGTTGACTAGAGAGTTGGTGCTCACGAGTATATTTCGTGATGTGCGTGTGCGTGTGCGTGTGCGTGGCGCCGATTGGCACTAGAGACGCAGTACAGTATCGCGTTGCGCAAAAGTGTGTCCGGATCGGGGTGCTGCTCGGACAATTCAGCACTTCCTCGATGGCGATCGCAAAGTTGCCCTGTATGGAAGGCTTGGATGCAATATTTGAGAGGCTCGAAAGTTTGGACTGTTGATGGTTGTGGAGGGGTTGTGGAGGGGTCGTGGAGGGGTCGTGGAGGGGTCGTGGACACCTACAATCTGTCGCGTGCGTTAGGCACTCACACTTTTGGGCCGTAACGCAGACTTGCAAAGCGAACTGACTTTGCACTGTCTCAACCGACGCTGCTTATACTAAACCACAGACGTACCAGTCTAGTGTACAAAACCGAACGTAAAATTATGGCCTCGCTCATGCTACCTAACGGTCGAACAGTCGACCGGTCGATGCCCCGCATTATCACGTGATCAGCCCTCGTTCGGTTATACCTTTAATCATTCTATTTTCGCGACAGTTGCATTGCATAATACAAGAGCATGTGACCAGGTAGAGACTCGTCATTTAGGATGTTGTGTATGAAAGCTTGGACTAGATCGTGTGCCAAAGCATGCAGTAAAACATGCACTAGAAGGTGTAGTAAAACGTGCACTGGAAGGTGCAGTAAAACGTGCACTAGAGGGCGCAGTAAAACGTGCACTAAGGCGTGCAGTAAAACGCGCACGTGCACTAGAGCGTGCCCTGTCCTACTTTGGGGCGTGCAGCTTTTACATCACATATGTCACAGCCACGAATGCAGGAGCATGCATAGAGGCGCCTGTGGATCTGCAAGCCCTATCATATTCACATGCATCTGTGAAGTTGGAGATGCGGCGGCATAAGACATGGGTGTTCAAATGCTCGCAGCCTACCACTTCTGGTGGTCTCTCTTCAATCATGTTTTTTGTAGTTGCCAACACCTAGAGACACACGACTTCTTGTTCATAATTCTAAAACCTTTCTTCTACGTTTTCATCACTGATCAGGGCCTGATAATATAAGAAGTTTCGAAGAAGGTAAGTCGTCTTTATATGTCAAGAAAACCGCTGACAAACAGTCTTGATAGATCCAGATCCGCTCGTCGCAACCATAAGCTAAGGCTTCAGCTTCATGACCCTCTGTTACTTCAGTGCTCCAAAAAAGATCTATTCAACCCCGGCTATCCTTTCCGCATTCTCAACGGCGTAGGCGTGGTATTTGTTTCCTAGTGGACATAGGGGAAGATACCTCCCTGTGTGCCTCCTGAGCATGACTGGTGCAGCTGCTTCTATACACTTGTATCAGTTTAAGAGAGTAGCCAAAGGAATATCGCACCCTCTTCGGCGTGTAAGCATAAGGTAGTAGTTGCGGACTCCTACTGGTATCGCAGCTGGATATTATGAGCGCGAACACGAAATTACGCGCAATCACTGTGTTAGATCATTAGTTGTAGTGTGGGCTAAGGAGCGGTGAGGAATAAAGATGGTATACCTATGTTCGCCTACTGGTGAGTTGGAGGACCTTTCCAGTCCATGCCGCAAGTGTATTGGCCTTAAATGGACGAGGCTGAAACCCAGGTTTTCGAATCTTCCATAAAATGCTGTAGCTAGGAACAAATTTTACAGATCACCACTTCTCTACAATACAACTTTCAAGTTTCAACAGCCAATCACCGCGATGCCAAGTTACGTCATAACGCTCGCTTCTGGGTCTGACCCTGCCACGTCATTCATCACGCCGAAAAACACCACCAAGAGTCCCAAGCACGCAACAAAAGCAAGAGAGAAGATGCAGTCTGTTGTTGACATAAGTGAATCTGCAGAGGTTGGGGATTTAGTTTTGAATATGAAGGACGACTTAATACGGCGATATGCAAGAGGTGTCGTTATTCCCTCAGGCAGATCTCATGTGACTTTCAACATCGACCAATACAAGGATATTACGACACAAATAATGCAGAGATATGACAAGGTATAGAGTAGCATTTAAGTGTTTTACGTTGCTTACTAGTTCAGGATACATATTCACATACCTTCGGTGCTGTCTTCGGGCCTGGTGCCACTATCCTTAGTGGTCCATATTCATACGTGATTGTGGTCGTCGCGTCACTTAATGGGGCTATGTATAAGGTCAATGGACAAGACCCGCAATCTTGTAATCTGATACACGCTCAGCGTGTCGAATGCACCATCCAGGTAGCTTCTGGGCAGCTCGTGGCTATAGTGTTTGCTTGGAGGTCGTAGACGGACGGGTAGTCGGTGCATGGAATGCTATTAATCACTTCTTCGGACCAATTCGGATTTAATGTCGTTGAAGCACCCTCGGAAAAGCTTGTGTTATGAGGCACAACGTACGAAACTCTGCCATCATACAACGGTGGCTGTATCAAAGGTTGAGACTGTGCCTGTCGGGGTCTCTTCTTCATCCCTAAGTATTGTAAGTTTATTCCTTGTACATCGCATGGAAACTACAGTACTTACGACAATCTCCACTATCTTCTTTTTCGTTCACAGTGCACATCTCTTCTCCTTCCCGCCTCTTTTCAGTATGGGTTTGGTTTCGCTGGAGACGGCAAAGGAATTTATCTTTGGCTAAATATCTTTCGACCTGATTCCTTACCTCCGCTCCAGTGGTGGAATGCTGAGAGCATTTTCTGTATAATCCTGTGAACCTTTCTAGACTGCAAGGGCCTATCTCGGCGTAAGCGAGCAAGAACAGGAAATCGAGCTGTTCTGCCGGTAACTGGGTGACATCGAACGAGGTTTTAGCATGTTGAATGGCCTCCCTTGCAGATCTGGAGAGATTCTGCTTTGACCAATTTCTCTGGCTATTCATGAACGCATGCTCCCAAGTTGATAATGGCTTCTTGATCCTTGTCCAGAGTTGCCATGCACCTGCCTGCATAACAGTGATCAAAGGTATATTTTGAATTATCTTGACATCCGTTGCGAACTGGTGTGCATCAGAGATTGAATTGAGTTTGGATTGAATTCTGGTGCAACTTTCGGGAGGGATGTCGGGTGCCGCAAGAACAATTTTGATAGCCCATGTTAACATGGACTCGTCGCTTCTGGAAAAGTCGAAATTCATGCTGGGAGATGCCGACGTCATCGGAAAGATGGAAAGGCTACCACCGAGGTAGATTAACGCGACGCAAGTAGTTTGGGAAGTTGTGTCAAGAGGACGGGTCAGGCGTGACCGTACTGGATGTCTGGGTGGCTTGGGGGAATGGGAGACGAAGGGGCGCGATCACTAGTCAAGGGGAGTCGCCCCCTGTTATGTGCTGAGAACTGACTGCGAATAGTTGACAAGGAATAGAGTCGGCCAGCTACGATAAGCTAGGATGCAGGGAAACTATCCCAATTGGCGGTCTAGCGGCGCTTGACTGCTTTGGATCGAAGTCCCCCCCCTGTCATGGTCGACGCTCTTTACCCGACCAAGGTATCTCAATCATATGTGACAGCCTCCCGACCCCGGTCTGAGCCAGAGGGATGCCTTGCACAGTCTGGGCTGATCGTTCGTAAATGCCTTATGCATACATGTGATGCTAGCGGGCGTTTCTGCCCATAACGGCAAGCAGTCTCTCTCGGTTAGCTGCATCATCACACGGCCTGCCCTAGCAGTCGTATGCAAATCCTCCGATCTGGAATAAATAAGATGGTAGCTACCCCCAGATTTCCATTATATACCGATTCTCTTCAAAACATCATGTCGAATGCAGCCATCATCACTTGCAGTGTCTTTGTTACCGCCGTCAGGGCACCTCAGGCTATTCGCTTGGTAGTCCAAAGTCCCGCTTCACCCGCCATTTGCCTTGCGTTCGTGGCGTACATCCTTCCAATTGTCCCCTGCATAGCATCTATCATACTTGCCACTCAGGGACTCACCGCATATGGTTTGCAGGTGCACGTATTTACCTTGTATAGCCTTGCGTGGATCGACTGGGTATGTAAGGCAAACATCAGCTTTTAGTGTGTCTAACCACTATTAGATGTATATCGATAAATGGTTCGCGGGCATGACCCAGCACGAGTGGTCCGAGCTACCGCGTCCCAAATTATCACAACAATGGCTTTGCCGTATTGGGGTAGTTATAGGATACATCGTCAGCGGGTGTGTGGTACTGTATCTCCACAACTCGTACGCCAACCTTGCTACTTTGTTAGTGTTTTCTGGTTCATACGTTTACTTGTCAATACAGCCTTGGCCTCAAGCATTCCAGCGTGAAGGCATGGCTTGGTTGTGTCACTATCAGATTGCGTTCACAGTGGTCTTAGTCATGGCTTCTATCACATTGAGCGTGGTCTTGATCATTGCTTCTACCGTATCGACAGTTGGAGCCATTCTTTTACAAAAGATCGCAGTATCCTTTCCTACTTGGCTCCCTATAGTAAGATGATCGGTCCCCAGTCTGTACGTCACTGATATATCAGGGATTTTGTTTATTCCACCCAGGAACAATTCGTTGTATTAGCACCATAATAACGAGTACGTGCGAGACGATATTGTGTACACGCGAGAAGATCCGGCGCACAAAGCCAACGCAGAACCACTTTGGCGTAGGAAATTCACCATATGGTTGGAGAAACGTGGGAGGAAGTGAAGAAAGCATGTGGCATAGGAGAGTGGAGACCTTGGAGCAACTGCTCGCTGTGTTGGGTACAGAGTCGGACGATAAGAAGATCGGCAATGGTGTCATGATGCGTATGGCAAATACAGACAAAGCTCTATTCTTGTTGTGCATTCAATGCTCGGAGCGCCTCGACTTTTCTTCAACGAAAGAGTTCTTGAGTGCTTGTACCGATGGCACACTAGATGAGTCTCGGCTTGCGGAACCTCTTCGACATCTGGGTTCTAGCCACATCAAAACTGCTGAGTTCGCCGCACTTTTGGTAAGTGTAGATGCAATCCCTTCTGGATATAGCTAACATTTCAAGAATAAGTTAAGAGTGACGCATAGAGCGGTGTTGACAGAAGTCTCACATTGAGCCAATCTAGTCAGGACAGAGAGAAGCGCTGAGATGGCAGGACTAGCATGCGGGCGAATAAGTTTTAGGCAATTACCTCCATCTTTTTCCTGTAAACACATTCTCTCATTTTTGAATACCATTTGGAAAAAATATTCAGCCCGTTCCAGATACTGCGTGAGAGAGATTAGAAGGGTACCATAAAATGGGTCTAACGGAACCCGCCGGTTGAGACATGTCCCAGAACGTGCAGCTCAACATTTCAAACGGCCAAGCACACCGCAGCTTCGCTAGGAGGCGTGCAAATCGGCGTTTTGCGCTAGCGGGCTGGGCTCCCCCACTTTGGGGTACGTAATACACGCCTTACCCACCCTGCCAATGCATCAAGACGTACAAAAAGAAATCTGGGCAAACAAGGCAAACAGGCAAACTAAGGACAGAGCTTTCAACAAACAAGGCGATACCAATCTCCGCAGAGAGGGCCGGGGATGAATACCCCTTCATGGTCAGTCTCGATATCAGCCACATTTTACATCCTCTTCTCTCACAATCGTTACTTGACAAAAGGCCATTCTTCACCATCCTCTATCTCAGATACGATGCTTGCTACTGCTTCACATCGTCACATGTCAGCCTTTACTCCTTCTCCTTCAGATTATCTTTCCAATTATCCCTCGCAGCTATTCACGCAACAAGTTTGAGCATTCAATAGCGAGATAATGGATCTATGGAAGGCCCGACTGGATTTCCAATCGAACGCGACTGTCAGCATTACTATGGGACAGTGGGCATTACTTTGGAGAGGAGATATTCCTGAATATCATAACCAACCCCCCAATGTGGAAATACTCGCACTTGCCGGCCACCTTTCCCTTGCTTTGAACTACCACAGCGATATCGTTTCTGCGATTGGAGGGAATACTTTACCTATTATCCAAAAACTGGCCGCCTCGGAAAAAGATGAAGGAGATTTGGTCACGTTCTTGAAATACAGGATCACCTCATACCTGAACAGGCGCGTCAAGGTTACGACAAAAGAGACGACCTACGTCGGCACATTCAAGGGAGCAACCAACGTATCAACAGCAATGGGAACTCTATTAGGGCACGATATTTACGATATTCGAGTTGACGACTGGCAGTTCCCTCTTTCCATTGCAGAAGTGGCCAATGGAACTACGGCATTCGAGCTCTACAAAATTAAGATAGAGAATCGAATCTGAAGAGGCACGATGTTGTGAGTAATTTTCATTGCTCTGCCATTCGTACTAGCGGATTTGGGGGAGCACCTTCTTTGTTTTCGCGTCTTCAGCCTCTCCCAGCTCCATCGTTTCTGCTTCTCTCTCCTCCCTCACTTGTTTGACTTTACTTCGTTTCCTCTCAAGAATCCTTGTAGAGTTAGTCTGAGGCATCTCATAACGTAATACAAAACGTACAAAGACGCCCATGCTGGACTGTTAAACTGATCTCCTAGTTCAAGCTGGTCTCTCATCGCCTCCGTCAGATCCCGGATGCGCCGCAGATGGTATACACTGTCCCCGAGTCTGGAACAATTTGGGAACAAAGCTCTACTAATAGGTAGACCCTGAATAGTGCAATATGAGAATTTCTTTGCCAATTGGTCATCTGAGAGCGAGGGTTTCTCTCTGAGGGCAGCCTACTGACGTTACTTCATTTGTAGATACTAATTGAACCGTTGAACCTACAATAAGCAGTGTCATGCGTGATACGAGCACTTCTGTGACATGATCCTGCTGATATTTTTCATCCAAGTCCCCTGCTTGCAATTTCTTCTGGTTTTGGGACGCGCCTCGAAGTGTGGAGGCTAGAACCCATTTTGGAGAAGGATTAGATACCAAACGATAGTTAGACTCCTCACGAATAGATATTCCGCCGTAAGGACCAACGATCTCGCTGGGCTTGATGTACGAAATGACTTCCCGGCAGGCCTGGTGGGCGACAATTAATTCAGCGTCGGATGACGACATGGCGATGATCTTTGACAAGCAGGTTGTTCGTTAGACTTCACTGTATATATAGCAGAGAAGAATCTACGATTCTGGACACACGCATGCGGGGTATATCTGCCTCTAGACAATGGCATAGGCAAAGTCCAGATGCATAAGGGGTTGTGTAAAAGAGCGTCATTGGTTAATCTCCACGCGCGGACACGGGCCCTACTTTTCGTGCCCCTTCCTCCCTCATCCGTCACCCACCGCTTCTCGCCTCCTGCCGGCGCCTGCAATGCCCCATTCCCGGCTTAATCCTGTGACCCCTGACATGTTAGCAGACAGAGATGGCGCGTCGAGAGCTAGGATCAAGGGTGGAGAGAACAGTTCATGGTTGCGCTTTACTGTGACAGGCGTCGTACTAGCTTGTGGACGAAAACAACAGTGGGGCGTAACACCCGTTAGAATGAACGAAGACCAAAATCCCTAGTGTGTGGCGGGATGCGGCCTGCCCGCCCTTCCGTGCATGGCTCGACATGCCTCACTCCTGCTCAGCATCCTGGTTGGGGCCAGCGGCTCCCGTCTCGGCAGCCTTTGCCCCACCCTTTCCACTAGCTGTATGTAGGATGTCAGCCACTGTTGAGCCTTTTGGCATGCCACTGCACTTACCCTTTTCCCGCTGGTTTTGGATTGCGCGCGCCATGCGCCAACGAAAAACGTCGTATCGCACCTCGGGAATATCCTCAGCTTTCAGCTGAGCATTAACACGCCCGTACATCTCTTCGACATCATTGGCTTTCACTTCAGACCATTTGATCCCTGGATTGTCTTTTACTAGTGCATCAATCTCGGTTTTGGTGATGTACTACCAGTCAAGATCAGCGTCTACTTGGATAGAGTAAGAGTATTCTGCCATACGTAGAACCTGTCCCATTGCGGTTGAGTGTGGCCGGCGTCTTTCTGGGCTTCACTTTTTGTAGCCTTTTTCTTGAGCCCCCATGCATCCATGACTTCTATGCGTGCGGCAAACTGACGTCTGTCCCGGTTGGGTAGGTTGGGTAGGTTCGCTGGATTTGCTGGATGGCGCGGGGCTTGTGCGTGCTTGTGGAGCTCGACTAGTCCGAGCTCGTTTGGCCCCGAAGGTCCGTGCGCCCTCATCAGTTCCCCCAGTCCCACGGCTGCTATCAAGCGCCACTCCTGCATTAGCATTGTGAGACATTAAGACGTATCGAATACGGCATATTGGACTCTAACCAATTGGAGGCCAGTTCGGTTAATCAAAGGTGGCATTGGTGTGGTGCGTAACCAACATCGGTTCGAGATTGAGCCAGGCCCGGCTTGACCTTGGAAAATGAAGGGAACTATCCCCCCTGCGATTGCGATGATCTGATTATGTGCCTACACTTGTTCTATGCGTGGTACTGGCCACATGCAATCATCGCCAAGTACAGGTAAGATGAAGATGCCCCTGACAAATCGGCATGCATTAACTCTTGGTTGCTTTGATGCTCATGTTCAGCCCCCAGAATCAGCTTGCCCATCTAAAAAAAGACTCTGAGGCCCGGATATAAAGCTCAGGGTCTCGCTGTATCCTGTGAAATGGAAACCCTCATCCTTAAGCAGTTTTTTCTTGCATCATCAAACAATTTATCAACCATCCAAGCGACGCACGGAAGCAGCCGCCATGGACGGAGCAGCCGCCATGGACGGAGCAGCCGCCATGCGGGAAGAATCAGGGTTTACAATTCCCGAGTTTCTTATACTTGAGGTACCTTAAGGCTCTTTCTACCATTTATCCGATAATAACAGAATTCCTTAGAATCTGGCAATTTCTCTAGCACGGAAGCTAATAAGTTGCGGTGGCGCTTATTTCTGGAGCGCATACGAGAAAGACACAAGAATTGATTCGTTCAAGATTTTACAGGAAGCATTTTATTCATCCGTTAGAAAGAAGTTTCGCCAATGTGTTTTTGACTATAGGATGGTGATGGCCTTTTACCGCATCCGAAAAGAGGGAAGAGGAAAGAAAACAGCGAAGAAAAAAAGGCACAACACAAAAGATGCAGATAGGACGATGCCAGGTTTGAGAGAATACCGCGTTATTTAGGCCATGCTAATATCTCTCAGCTGTCGAGGGCTGCATAAAAAGCCTAAACTTACCACCGAGCATGATGCTCGCAACTCAGCAACACGTTGGTACTTTCCAAAGCACAAAGTTCGAAAACACCATGGAATCGAGTAAGAAATGAGAGACTGTCGTTTGACCTATGCTAAAGCATCACAGGTAGAAGTGAGAGTACAATGGATTTCGACCAGCCCGGCCACGAACACACAACAATACCGACCAGCACCCCTCGAACCCTGCGATCAGCAACCAAGAACAAGGAAGCAGCTTTGACTTATCAGTCCCTGCCCCAATTGGCCGAACAATTTGGAAAAGACTTCGGCCTCACTGATGCGGAATTGGGGCCCTTATCGGTATTGTTGATTTCTTCTAAGTGTTGGTTGAGTTTTATGTTACTAAAATCCTCTAGAATACGGTAGACTATCAAGCACACCAACTTATGGAAAAAAGGTCTGGGATACCCTGGAAAGATTACACTTATAAGGAAAAAGATTGTTGTTTGGAATCAACACAAATAATGATTAGGGTAATGACCAAAAAGACTGTCCCACGGGCTAGCCTTGAGTCGATGATATCGTGGCTCATAGATACACGAATCCATGCTCAAGGAGAGAAAGTGAAGGAAAAGAAGGCAGCAGGTGAGAAAAAGAATCGCATTATTCACATTAGGCTAATGACGCTTAGCTATCTATATCGACAAGAAGAATCCACACGTACTACCAAGCAGGAGCCCGACAGCACCCGACTCTTCATCTGCTATCCATAGCACGCACTTTGATGGTACTCTGGGACTCGAAAACATCATTTGAACCTATCTAACACTTTGCAGCTACTGGTAACACGAAAGCCGATGCTGATAAGTCCCACGCCAAAGTCAGAAGATTCGACCCTATCAGAGACATTTGAATAGAGGATGACCATCTCGAAAGATCACAGTCTGATTTCAATCCCTCCCATCATATCGCCATCTTGATCCTCTTCACTATCTGTACTTTTGGCGTCTATGCCGCCTGGCAGCCAGCCTTCGAGGAAAAGCCATGGTGTGCTTCCATGATCTTTTGGGTCTAATGGCTGCCTTGTATCTGGATGTAGCCCTGCTTTCTTGTGTGCCTCAAGGAACTTCGTCTTTTCTTTGTAATCTTCTTCCATTCTAGCTAGACTTTTCTCTGCGAACGTCTTACCAACTAATTGAATCATTTCCGTTCGAGTCACCCAATCGATGGTGTTATCATTATACATGAACCTTACGTAGGTATCTGGCCGACGTTTCTTGGATCCTGATTTGTAATTCTCGGCTCGACACATGACTACACATGGACCTATTGACACGATTCTGTTCGTCTTGCGTTCGTTCTTCCTTTTCCAGAGATCGAATGTGAAATGGGAAGATCCGTCATCACAGTCTTGGAGTGCTTCCGCGCCGCCAGGACCTAAGTCGCTTCCTCGAATAACTTGGTAATACTCTAATTCCTTAGTGCTAGCACGGAGTATAAATCGACTGAGTCTGGGGTTGCCAGTTCAACTCAATCTGGTAGCGACTAAATCTCCAAACTCTGTCTTCCCGTCGCTATAGTCAGGCATCTTTATGACATCCACCTCGCCCAATTGCGTTGGCAGATAGTCTTTCTTTTTCGCAGAATATTTTTGCTTCGAATTTGCCAGGCGTTCGCTGCTACTAGGAGTTTCTTTAACTCCTGTAGGCGGAGGAGAAAGTATACTAGGTTCAGTTAGAGACGGCTCAGTTGTGTTCAAAGGGCCGGAACTATACTCCACCGCTTTCATCTTGCCATTCATTTGTTTCAGTAAGCTTGGATCAAGGCTTTTGGCAAGGCTCTGACTTTTGAGCGTTTTTATAAGGTCAGTCCGCGTATGATTTAGCTTTTCCTGCTCACCATTTATCCACTGTTGTTGCATCCTCTGGAAAAGAGCTAATGGCAGGCTGTTTGTAGTGGCGTCGATGCCTTGATCAGTGTTCTGGCGTTCTAGAATTGTGTTCTGGCTTTCCATTGCGTCGATGTAAGTTTGGAGTTTTCGGGCACTAGCAGAAGTCCGGTCGTCTATATCTATTACGTTGAGAGCCTTCCTCATCTCAGGCACCGCTATAGTCCACGCATCCTGCTGATTGGAAGTAGGCCTATTCAATTCGGCTATATCATACCCTTTGTTTTTCAGCGAGATGGATTATCAACCTCCTTCAAACCAACAACAGCATCACCAAAATTACGCCTACAAAGAAACACGCCAAACTTCGAGATATCGAACCTCCAAAGCTTGCAATCGATGTCGTGAACGTAAGCAGAAATGCAATGGAGAGTCGCCATGCAACAGATGTCATGAAGAAAATAAACAATGCGAATATATACAATCACAACCAACTGCGTATGATACACTCCGCTTACTCACAGTTTCATACTAACTTCTATTAGTCAAGAGATGACGCTTCTCAAGATACACAATCTCGTCAATGATACGAAGAATCAAGTTTCCAATTTTGCTGGCCGGCTAGAGGCATTTGAAAGAAATTTTTCCAATACACACCTCACACTCTACGAACCTAAACTAGAAGGTACATCGGAAGCATTTTCGAGCGAAAAGATTCGACAGCTATTCGATGTCTATCTAAATCACGTTCATGTCCTATATCCAATTTTCGACAAGCCTTGGGACATATGCGTTCATTTTCAAGACGACATGAGTCGCACAACAGAGCGGAACAATCTTGTTGGAACAAGCTTCGAAAATGCCCAGGCTTTACTGTTTCTTGCAATAGGAAGCTGTTTTCCAGATGCTGAGTATACAGGGGGCTCTGATACCAGACCAGGCATGATCTACTATGATTTGGCCCAATATATTCTCAAGTGTAAGTTCAGAGATCGAAGCATTGCTTACGCAAAAACATCAACTCTGGCTGCAATTTACACTAGCCAAACGTATAATAAGAACCAAACTATCGTTGGGAACCCCTACTGGTTATCAAGAAACTGGAAAGACAAGCAAACAAGCTCTATAGTTATTGCTTTCAAATCCGAAGAAGAAGCGAAGAAGATTGGCAATAGAATAACAATTCTTGGCCAATCACTCCGGGTGGAGAAATACCGCCAAATCCCACCTACTGCTCAATGCAGTAAGTGCCAAGGATTTGGACACAACTTCAGCAGATGCAAAAACACAGCTAGCTGCCAGTTCTGTGCTGAAAACCACCTAACTACTCAGCACTTTTGTAGTATCTGCAAAGTAAAGGGAAAGGCCTGCAACCATACGCTCCCAAAATGCAAAAACTGCAAACAAACCCACTTTGCTAACAGCAAAGACTGCGAGGTTCCTCTATCTATTAAATAATGATAGAAAACCTTAAAGTACTACAAATAAACCTAAACAAAAACCCACGCACTACAGAATCAACGCTACAACTAGCAATCGAGCTTAAAGTGGATATTATTGCAATCCAAGAGCCGTGGATTGCACCTTCAGATAGCAATAACTACGAAGCCCCAAGATCAATAGCCCACCAAAGCTTCTACCAAATCTTTCCAAAAGCAGACCCTAACCTCCGCCCAAGAGCTCTATTTTATATATCTAGATATCTAACAGCAGAGGTTAGCCAGCTAGAGGAGATAGATGACCCCGACGCCATTGCTATCACGATCCAAGAAGGACGCTTAAAGTTCAATATCTACAACGTGTACAACCAAAAAAACCAAGAAAATATAAAAACCTTTCAAAGATTACTCGCCAATACCCAGCTACCAATATCTACCCTGCTGCTAATGGACGCCAACGAGCACCACCCGTGGTGGGACCTAGGCTGCAAAACTAGCCGAGACGGCCAGCTACTAGCAGACTGGATAGAAGACCAGAACCTTAGTCTTCTTAACACGCCAGGAGCCACTACCTTCTTTAGATCGAATATGTCTCGAGAAACAACAATAGATCTATCTATCGCTACCCCAGATCTAGAAGACAAAGTAAAAGACTGGCAGATTACAACAGAACCTGGATCTGATCACCATGGGATACTCTTCTCAATCCAGACAACAAAGCACCTAGTTAATAACCCTGCTAGACAAACAAGATACAATATAAAAAGGGCAGACTGGGACCTATTTAGAGAAGAGCTAGGTAGAGCTATACAGAACAACGTAGCCCTACAATCACTAGATCAGATCAACCAACCAAGAAAAGCAGATTCAAGAAACCTACTCCTAGGCCAAGATAACGAGCTTAAGCTGCAACTAGAAGCAATTGGCACAGCAATTACGCTAGTTATCCAACAAGCCGCAGATAAAGCTATTCCACAACTAAAGCTAGGGCCAAAAGCAAAGCCCTGGTGGAGCCAGGAGTTAACTAAGCTACGAAGAAACGTATCTCACTGCCAAAGGATATTCGTACAACAGCTACAAGCTACGTCTATAGAGGAAGCCTATCTCTTTAAAAGAGACTTCCTCCTAGCGCGAAACACCTACCAAGCAGCAATTAGAAAAGCGAAAAAGGAGCACTGGATTAACTTCCTTGAAAAAGAAGACCCACAATCTATCTTTAAAGCTATGGACTATACTAAGGAAAAGAGAGTAGAAGGAATCCCTCCTATCCAAGGAGAGACGCTAGAAACCTCGTTTAAAGGAAAGTGTAACGCCTTTCGAAAAGCACTATTCCCTCCGCCACCGAGTACAGTACCACCAAGCTTCAATAACTACCAAGAGAAAGAGTGGGAATGGCCAGCGCTATCGATAACCGAGCTAGAACGCGCCTGTTCTAACAAGGTTAAAAGCAGCTCACCTGGCCCAGACGCTTTATCACAGGAAATTATCACAGCCGCCTACCAAGCTCAGCCAAATACGTTCTTCAAAGCTTACTCTCTGCTATTTAACTACGGATACCATCCAACATGCTGGAGAAGAGCTACAGGAGCAATCCTAAAGAAGCCGTCTAAACCCGACTATTCTATCCCAAAGGCCTATAGAGTAATTACTCTACTAAGCTGCCTTGGGAAAGTAACAGAACGGATAATAGCCAAAAGACTCGGCTACCTAGCCGAGACTACTAACCTCCTACACGACTCGCAGATAGGAGGGAGACTAAAGAAATCAGCTATAGACGCAGCTCTACTCCTTGTAGATCAAATCCAGCACCAAAAACAACTAGGCTATACCACATCAACAGTCTTTCTAGATATTAAAGGAGCGTTCGATCACGTTTCGCACAACCAGTTCCTAGGTACACTAAAAAGACTAGGCCTACCTACTAGCCTAATCACTTGGGCTAAGACCTTTCTATCGAATAGATCTCTAAGGCTCGCCTTTGACGGCCAAATAGAAGAGTTTAGCGAGATTAACGCGGGTATCCCACAAGGCAGCCCAGTCTCGCCAATCTTCTTTCTCATCTATATTAGAGACCTATTCCCCCAAATAAATGGATTTCAGCTCTCCTATATCGACGATATCTCAATTACAACCTCCTCAACGTCCATTAAGAAAAACATTAAGATACTCCAACAGGAGGTTAAGAAACTAGTTACTAAAGGACGAGAACTAGCTATCGAGTTCGATATAGCGAAAACAGAGCTAATCCACTTTACAAAAAAGAAAGAGAGAAAAGAAATACCCCTAGAGCTCCCTAGTAAGGAGAAAATCTACCATAAAGATACTATTAAGTGGCTAGGGGTACACCTCGACAACAAGCTATCCTTCCGAGGACACGTAGCTATCCGAGCCTGCCAAGCAAAAGCAGCTTTTAATAGACTAGGGAGACTAGCGAATATAGACCGCGGTCTATCTCCCTACGCTATCCGACAACTATATCTAGCATGTGTTACAAGCATTGCAGATTATGGGTCGCCAATCTACTGGCGAAACCAGAGCTATATAGAAGATCAGCTTCAGCCGCTACACAACGCGGCGTGCAGAAAGGTACTAGGAGTGTTAAAAACAGCTCCAGCTATCCCAACAAGTATCGAAGCCAGCCTGCCGTCACCAGCTATACGGCTAAGCCAAACCAACCGAAAATACGCTCTACGAGCTATACAACTAGCTCCAACCCATCCAATTACAAAAGCTATTGCAAGGCTACAAAAAACAACCCTTAAGCTATCAAAAAAGCTAAACAAAACAAGACAACTTCGGGCTATTACGAGCTCCATCCCAGCTACCCAAGAGATAGAAGAAATCATCCCATATCGGTTCAGACCATGGGATTCTCTTAACTACAATATCTCTATATCAAAGAAATCTAAAGAAGAAGAGGCAGCCGCGCACAAGGATTATATCCAAATAATAGAGGATAACTCTATAGTAATCTACTCAGACGCCTCCAAAACAAAAGACGGAGATGGGATAGGAGTAGGCCTAGCTGTCTATAACCCAAACCAAGAAGAAATCTACATAGAGACAAAGAATATAGGCGAGCAACAACTCGTCTATAATGGAGAGCTAGAAGGCATTACAGCAGCGTTTGAATACGCTGCCAAAACTGCTCAAAAAGACCAAACTATCCACGTTTACGCTGATAACCAAGCGGCCATCTATAGGCTCCAGAATCTATCAGATAAGCCCGGCCAGCAGTGGGTAACTCGGTGCCAAAAAGCAGCCAAAGCTATCCTTAACAAAAAAGCAAAGATCTTCTTAAAATGGGCGCCAGGCCACACAGATATAGAAGGGAACGAAAAAGCAGATTCCTTAGCTAAGGAAGCTACAAAACAAACACCCAAAAAATCGCAAACAAGCCTAGCCTTCCTAGGCACCAAGATTAAGCTCCGACAAAGAGCTAGCCAAGCAGAAGAGTGGAGAAAGTACAGGGAAACAGCAAGAGAGAAGAAGACTAGCTACGGAGCTATCTTCGACCTTAAGCTTAAAAACCAACTAGCAATCCCAAGAGGCACGAAAAGAGACGTTTTAAGCTCATTCTACTCTCTTAAAATAGGACACGGATACTTTAACTCCTACCTAAAGAGAGTAAAGAGAAGAGAATGCGAGCTTTGCAGATGCGGGAGACCGCAAACAACAGAGCACTTACTTCTATACTGCGGCTTCTACAGCGCAGAAAGAAACCAGCTTAAAAAGACTCTAGACCAGAAAGTACTTAAACTCCCACTTCTACTCCACACTACGAGCGGTATAGAAGCTACTTTAGCTTTCATTACTAGCACGAGAATAGGAACAAGAAAGTGGCACCTCGGCCAAGAAGGCTAGAAAAGAACAAAACAAGAAAGAAACAGTAAGGAAGAAAGAAAAAGAAGAAAAACACCTCTGCTCTTAGTAATACTATTTTCTATCCCCTAAGAGAGCCCGCTAGAAGGTAGCCTGGCTGCCCTACATCTCTCCCTGTTACCAAACTGCTCTTTAGCACCAGGCGTCTAGAAAGCTAGCACTAGCTTAACTAGACAAAGGCCGAAGCACCATAGTCACGCAATATAGCACAACGTACCAAATTGTAACTAACGTCCATCCCTGAGTACTGGGACACCCGCCGTGCTGGGACAAATGAGGGGTACTTTGACTTTCAACACTCTGCTTTCTTCGCACATTTCAATATTCGCTATATATTCAAATTGGCTATAGTGTATAGCTATTAGTGGATCTATCCCGAGCCTCCCAACTAAAAATTACGTAGCTGTTAATGCTCTTTTTGCAAATGTTACAAACAGCCTTTCCCATGTGAATAACAGCGTCACTCTGCTATAGCACTGCTTAGAAGTGTTTACTACCTATCGCATATAAAGAACGTTAGTATCCAGCTCTAAGAGTCTCATATTAACGTGGCAAGCTATCATCAGCTTCGCGCCTGCTGTAATGCCCAAAGCTATACAGGGTCGCCACGCGGATCGCTACTTCGGCTAGTGATAAGCGATCCTACATACCTTACGTAATTGACTCTAGTGTAATTTATCAACTGTGGCTAAAGACTTTGTGGCTGTGCATAGCCTCGTCTCTTTGGCAGATACTCAAATAATCCAAACTCTGGTGTCAAAAAAATAATCGAAGCAACTACTAACAGCGCTGGGCGAAACAAGAGCTGCTTCTCTATATTTATAATCATTGTAAAGTTACCTTAACTAGTATGAGAGACTACTAGTGTTTTAAGCACCACTACGTGCTCTGGCACTGATCTAACATCAATACATCCGCGCCACGGGAGCCCTCCATGGCCCTGCAACTTCGCTCATCCTTGCAGCTTGAGTGATTGGCTCTGGTTCACCTAACTCCTTCTGGGCAGCCTCACGCTTACGACCACGCTTTGTTTTACCTCTTTCCGCCACAGCCTTTTCTTTAGCAGCTCGCTTTGCCCGTGCCTCCTCCAGGTCCTCATAGCTCATCACCTTCGCCTTCCCTAGCACGACTGATCGAGTCGCTCGGCGGACCTTGGCCTCTCCGTTAATCTTAGCCAATAGTCGGTTGTGGTCCTGCAGGAGACCTTGTTGGGCGAACGAGATGTGAGCCGCGCTCGCCAGCTTCTGTACTCGTCTCTGTAGGCGCTGTTTGCTTAGTTCGTCAAGCGTAGATGTGTCCTGTTGAATTAGGTTATGAAGCGACACTAGGCCTTCTGTGTTTACTGGCGTTACAGGTGTTACAGGTATTTCGTCCCTGGGATCAGATGGCATATCCTTACTAGCTATAGAAACCGTGAGCTCTGCAGGTGGCCTTGGCATGTCTTGGAGTACCCTTTCTGGGTCAAAAGGCAGCAAGCCACTTGCGGCCCAGGCGGCCTTGATATTCCGCCTCGTGAAAGCCTTGGTCCTTGCAGGGCCGTATAGCGAGGTGAAGTGCTCCTTACCAACTGTATCTATACCCCCTCTGTTTAGCCGCTCGACCTGGTCGCGATAGGCTGTCTTCAGGGGCGCGAATACTCCAACATCGCAGGGCTGCAGCTTATGGGAGGTGTGAGAGGGGAGACGGCATAGCATGATGTTGTTACTAAGGCAGAATTCAAGAATTTCTAGCGTTTCGTGAGTGCCGAAGCCGTCGCAGATCAGCACCCGCGGTTTACCGTCAGCCAGGTCTCTAGTTTGGGGATCAAAAGCACGCATAAGCCACTCCAAGCTGATCTTAGAGTCATTATAACCGCTCTCAGAGAATGCGTAGTGCCATCCGGGTGTGGGATACGTAGTCCAGTTACTTCGGTGCGTCGAGGCTGGCCAGATGATAAGAGGCAGCAGCGCCCTACCGTCAGCGCTTATACACTCGACAGCAGTCACCATCGTCCGCTTCGTGCTAGCACCTCTATAGTCGCGTCTATCATCCTTACCTACTAGGACTTTAACAGAACCAAGCTTACTCAGCATGACCCCCGTCTCATCCATGTTGTATACATTCTCTGGCAGTACCGCTGTATCCTGCAGCACCTTGCCAATTATCTGAAACCACTCTACAGTCTTATCGTATATATTGTTCTCATGGCGCTTCCAGTCTATTGACTTGACTCGTCTCGCTTTAAGTTCAGGGTGGCGTTTCTCGAAGGCGCGAGCCCAGTTCTTGCCCGGAGGCTTGATCGGCTTGTTGGTCGTCGTGGACCGCCGGCGTGCGATGCTGAAGGCTAGCGTAGGTACGTACTTAATCCGGACAGGTTGCCCAAAGCTAGACATTAGTAACAAGAAGAAAACAAGCGCTTTCTCTTCCTCGACAGTAAGGTATTGCTGGCGCTGAGCTTTTGTTTCTTTCGACGTTCCTCCGTGCTTACGACGATGGAGGGTAGAGCGAGGGACATTGCTCTTCTCCGCAATAGTACGATATGTCTCACGCTGGTCGGAAGAGAAGGCTTCAGCCAGTGCTTGACTAGCTGGATCCATGGCCGCGAGTATGTTGCTATACCAGCAAAGGGGTGGTAACGAGCAGCCTCGACGTAACTAAAACGCGTCCTGTTGCTCTGATGACATGCGGCAGAGGACGAGCGGAGCTTGTTCTAAAAATAGCAAGCGCACGATGTAGCTTCGAATGGCGCTTCAATACTATACCTAACCTAACAAGCTATAGAAGTGCTCAAACGATCGCGCTATGGTGCAGGCCATCAGATAGGATAATATTTGTGTAGTATTCCGCTGGCCTCTCAAGTCTGCAGTAAGAGTGGGCAAGCGGGCTCTGGCGAAACGTGGTTCCGAGGCCTTTCCGACCCTACGTCGCCCACGATGTGGCAGCGCTTAGCTGTGCCTGCTCTCTCAGCCTCGTGCAGCTAAAGATGGATTGCAACACTGCTCTCAGCCTGACAGCGGCCTCGCTGCTCCGTCAGCCTACAACCGCGCAAGGCACAATCGACCAGTTTGTTTCATCCCCGTCGCAGACCTCACGTTATGGACGGCCTTTCGGGCGCAGCAAGCGTCATCGCAGTAATCGACATATCCGCCAAGATTGCGTCGCTATGCGTCCAGTACTCTATGGCCGTAAAGGACGCGAAGGGCGATATTGAACGTGTGCAGAGAAAAGTTAGCGACATCAACCACGTGCTGAAGAAGATTAAGCAGCTTCTCGACAGCCAGGACAAGACGCGGCTCTCTGCCACCCAAGGGCTACTAGACTCGGTCGAACAATGCCTGAATGAGCTGGAAACCCTAGACATGAAGCTAGAACCGGGAAAGACCCGCAAGACTATGAGCCGGTTCGGTTTACGTGCGCTTAAATGGCCGTTTACGAGCAAGCAGGTGGACAAGATTATTTCGAGCTTGGAAGGGTACGAACAGACCTTTGGCTTAGCGCTGCAGGTTGATCAGACGTAAGCTTCTATACACGGATCTGTCGTGCGCAGAAATGTCTTCTTACTAGCTATACAGGGCTGTTGTATTCAGCATAGACCAGAAACTAGACCTAGCTAAACTACCCATCGCCCAAGGAGCGTCCTACGACTCACATACGGAGGAACACAATGCGCGATGCCTACCAAACACCCGCACCGCACTGCTGCATGACATTGCGAAATGGGCACAAGATAAGGATAGCAAGTCTATATTCTGGCTTAGCGGCATGGCTGGCACGGGAAAGTCTACGATTGCGCGGACGATTGCCGAATCATTTGCCAGGCGCGGCCAGCTAGGAGCAAGCTTCTTCTTCAAGAAAGGTGAGGGCGAACGTGGCAACGCCTCACGGTTCTTTACTACCATCGCCACGGATCTAGTCGCGTGCGAGCCAGGGATGCTGCCTAGCGTTAGGAAGACGCTCGACGAGGACCCAGCTATATCACACAAAGCTCTAAAAGACCAGTTCGAGAAGCTTATTCTACAGCCACTTCTAGGGATAAAGCAGACTCGCTCGCGGGCCTTGGCGCGAGTTGTCGTGATCGACGCGCTAGACGAATGTGAGCGAGAAGCAGACGTTCGGGCGATCCTTCAGCTGCTCGCTCAGACGAAGGACATTCGCCAAGTGCCACTACGGATCGTGGTCACCAGTCGGCCAGAACTCCACATCCGTCTCGGCTTCAAGGAGATGCCGAACGGCACATACCAGGACCTCATCCTCCACGAAGTACCAAGGAGCACGATCGAGCATGACATCCGTCTGTTCCTAGAGCATAAGCTTAGTATGATACGAAAAGAACGCATGCTAGCCTCAGACTGGCCAGCCCAACAGCATATTCTGGCGCTAGTTGAGTTAGCTGTGCCGTTGTTCATCTACGCTGCCACTATATGTCGGTATGTTGGCAGTAAAGGAGGCGACCCCGAAGCGTATCTGAACAAGGTCTTGCAGTATCCAAAGACAGCTTTTTCACAGCTCGACCGAACCTACCTTCCCGTCCTAGACCAGTTGCTTGTTGAGCAGGAAGAAAGAGATAGAGAAGATTGGCTGCGCGTCTTCCGTGAACTCGTAGGTAGCATAGTCATCTTAGCAAGTCCACTTCCTGTCGGCCCCCTTGCGCGCCTCCTTCAAGTTCCGAAGAAACAAGTCGAATGCCGGTTAGATGCCTTGCACTCCGTTCTTAGTATTCCTGACAGGGAGGACGTTCCTATCAGGCTACTGCACCTGTCCTTTCGCGAGTTCCTTCTCGACCCCCAAAAGCAAGCAAAGAGCCCGTTCTGGGTGGATGAGAAAAGGACACACCAGAAACTTGCATCTCGCTGCCTTAAGCTTATGTCTGGATCTAGCGGCCTACATCAAGACATGTGCAACCTTGCAGGGCCTGGAGTGTTGAGGAGCGAGATAGACAAGCAGATAGTTGCTACTAGGCTGCCACCCGATCTACAATATGCGTGTCGCTACTGGGTTGATCATCTCGTCCAGAGTAGGCAAGATATTGTTGATAGAGACGCAACGCACCTCTTTCTACAGAAGCACCTTCTTCATTGGTTTGAGGCGATGAGCCTTATTAGAGAATCAAGCAGATGCGTCAATTTGCTTAACAGCCTTCAGGCACTTACTAGTGTAAGATCTTTATAAGGAAATCTTCCTGTAACTCTACTAATGTATAATATAGCCCTCTTCAGAGCTAGTTTTGGGCTTTCTTCATGACGCTAAGCGGTTCGTGCTGCGGTTCCAATCTGTGCTTGCAGATTCACCGTTGCAGATCTATTACTCAGCGCTAGTGTTCGCACCAGAGAAGAGCGTAATACGACAAACATTTGTAGACCAAGTTCCAGAAAAGGTTAAGATGCTATCTATGAAAGAAGCCGACTGGGACGCGTGTCGCAGTACGCTCGAGGGCCATTCATCAGGTGTTGGCGCAGTGGCCTTCTCGCCAGACGGGCAACTAGTTGCGTCGGCATCTTATGACAAGACAGTGCGGCTGTGGGAGGCAGCGACAGGGACGTGTCGTAGCACACTCGAGGGCCATTCCTCATATATTGAAGCAATAGCCTTCTCGCCAGATGGGCAGCTAATCGCGTCAGCGTCTGACGACAAGACAGTGCGGTTGTGGGAAGCGGCGACAGGGACGTGCCGTAGCACATTCGCGGGCCATTCTGAGCGAGTTAGCGCAGTGGCCTTCTCGCCAGATGGGCAGTTAGTCGCGTCAGCGTCTGACGACAAGACAGTGCGGCTGTGGGAAGCGGCGACAGGGACGTGTCGCAGCACGCTCGAGGGCCATTCCGAGTTGGTTAGGGCGGTGGCCTTCTCGCCAGATGGGCAGCTAGTCGCGTCAGCGTCTGACGACAAGACAGTGCGGTTGTGGGAAGCGGCGACAGGGACGTGTCGTAGCACGCTCGAGGGCCATTCCTCATATGTCGGCGCAGTGGCCTTCTCACCAGACGGGCAGCTAGTCGCGTCAGCATCTTTAGGCAACTCGGTGGCCTTCTCGCCAGACGGGCAGCTAGTCGCGTCGGGATCTGGCGACAAGCCAGTACGGCTGTGGGAGGCAGCGACGGGGACGTGTCGCAGCACGCTGGAGGGCATTTCCTCGCCTGTCAACGCTGGATCCTTCTCGCCAGACCAGAACACAGTACAGCTGTGGGAGGCGGCTACAGGGAGGTATCGCAGTACGCTCAAGGGCAGTTCATCGTATGCCGGCGATGTGGCCTTCTCGCCAGACGGGCGGCTAGTCACATTGGCACTTGGGGACACGACAGTGCGGCTATGGGAGGCGTCAACGGGGACATGTCGCAGCACGTTCATGGGCCATTCCATGAATGTCTGGGCGGTGGCCTTCTCGCCAGATGGGCAGCTAGTCGCATCAGCGTCTTCTGACAAGACAGTGCGGCTGTGGGAGGCGGCGACAGGGACGTATAGCAGCATACTCGAGGGCCATTTTACAAGTGTTAAGGCGGTAGCCTTCTCGCCAGACGGGCAGCTAGTTGCGTCAGCATCTTTCGAAGACACAGTACGGCTGTGGGAGGTGGCTATAGGGACATGTCGCAGCACGCTCGAGGGCCATTCTAGGAGTGTCAACGCAGTAGCCTTCTCGCCTGACGGACAGCTAGTTGCGTCAGCATCTAAAGACAAGACAGCGCGGCTGTGGGAAGCGGCGACAGGGACGTGTCGCAGCACGCTCAAGGGCCATTCCTCAGATGTCTGGGCGGTAGCCTTCTCACCAGACGGACAGCTAGTTGCGTCGGCATCTGAAGACAGGACAGTGCGGCTGTGGGAAGTGGCGACAGGGACGTGTCACAGCACGCTCAAGGGCCATTCCTCAGATGTCTGGGCGGTAGCCTTCTCGCCTGACGGGCAGCTAGTTGCGTCGGCATCTTTTGATAAGACAGTACGGCTGTGGGAAGCGTCAACGGGGACGTGTCGCAGCACGCTCAAGGGCCATTCCGAGCGGGTTAGGGCGGTGGCCTTCTCGCCAGATGGGCAGCTAGTCGCGTCGTCATCTGAAGACAACACAGTACAGCTGTGGGAAGCGGCGACGGGGACGTGTCGCAGTACGCTAGATAGCCCTTATGGCTTCACTTCGTATATCAGCTTCTCGCCAGATAGCCGGGTACTTCACACGTACCGAGGCGATATCCCTTTACCTCAAGCTATAGTTGGCACATCACTCTTGAAGCCAAGGTCGCAGTGCTCGTATATTCGAGTGCAGGATCAGTGGATATTCCGCAACCAACAACGCTTCCTATGGCTTCCGCCAGAGTGTCGATCAAGCTTGACTATAGTACACGACCAGGTAGCTTGTCTAGGGCTTATGTCTGGCCGTGTGGTTTTGCTTAGAATTCTCTAGCGCTATAATTACATGGACTCATATTGATATAAGTGTAGTACAAGTTTTCCGGCGTAATAGTTATAAGTAATCGATATGTAGCAGTTACATACAGGTCTAGTTGTTAACAGTCTCCCTTAAGGACGACTTCCGCTAGAGCTCATATGTTCAAACCGCCTACTAGTGCTGCGCCACAGCCCTAACAGCCGCTAGAGATATAATTAACTATTAACTAGTTAGTTAGTTAACTAGTTTACTTAATTACGTAAACATAGTTACATAAGATTTGCAGAGCCGCTTCGCACGAGCCGAGGTACTAATCACGACTGCGATCTTGTATGAATATGGGTGTTGTAGGCGCCACAAGGCCAAACGTAGCTTACCGCGCTGTCGCAAGGTTACTTAGACATAACTGCGGTCTTTTAGAGTTTCTTAGACGCTGTAAGGTTTTATACAGGACTATAGCAAAGCAACACCGTCGTGCACGAAAGAAAGGTCCATTGTAACTTACGCAATAAGAGTAGTAATAGCGATGTAATTTTTAGGTAGAAGTGTTAAGATATGTTTCCAAATACCTCTAGCACATAGGCAACATAAGTTACTAGCGATTCTCAGCGTGGACATAGAAAGCGAAGTGCTGAAAGTCAAAGTACCCCTCATTTGTCCCAGCACGGCGGGTGTCCCAGCACTCGGGGAGGAACATTAGTTAGATAGAACGGCCTTTGGCTAAAGTCCTACATAGCCAACGGCTGATACAGGACTATAATGGAATAATAATACACTAGCCAAAACGGAATGCTCAGTAATAGCGTGATACACCTGTGCGCCGCTCAATCCATATACGCAGATGTTGTCAAGAGGTAAGACAATTCATTCTTACCTAGAAAACTAGCCTGATAGCAAGCAGCTTGACCGCGAGAAAGTGCCTCTCCGAGGAAGTAATGAGAAGCGTTGGGATTTTCCAGATTCTTGCAAGGTTAGTTAGGATAATAAGTCCGAGTACCTGTCTGACACTTTTTCTAGCGATTTTCATGATGACGCCAGCATTGACTGCTCTATTTCTTACTCTGACGACTGGAGCAGATTATTTTCTGGAAAGATGGTGGAAGAGCACGATTATTATGTTTTATGGACAAGGATAATGCTCCAGATAGTATTCAAGGTTGCAAAGCGAATTCCACCGCCAGATTTTGCTTCAATCGAAAGCTTTAATGATGAAATTCTGTGCGCTTTCATAAGCTCCGCAGAGTTGAAGATCAACATTATGGAGCAATAGAGATCAAGTATCATCCCACAATTGGCCTAGAATGATCGAGATCCACCGTCAAGTAACCATTTAATGGCTTCGCTACGATCAGAGTACTACGGGAGTGTATCTGCCTTGTTGTGGCCGTACCTGAAAATTCTGAAAATTCTCGATCGAATCGAGGTTTCAGAGAAAGAGTTATCCAAAGGCCAGCAAGATATCCTCCATTTCATCTACCACTGGGAGAGATATACTCTCTACAACATTACCGCTTTTGACTGTGTTGGTGCAGTTAATGGTCATGTGTACAGAACATTTCGGGGTACAAGCAGTAGTCTGGTAATTATGGGCAACCCTGTGAATACACTTCACATGTAAGTTAACTACCTTATTACCCATGATGTGTATCTAACACTGATTGTTCGCAGTGGATTCAAGGCAGTCCTTCTTTTTTAAGCTATCGGTTCGGCCCCATTTGGAAAACACATCGAAAGTCTACTGCAGCTCTTAGATAAAGATATGAACTATCTTTACCAATATACAGTCGATAAATTGTCCAGATTTCGGCTAGCTAGTCAAATTCTAAACCAGGATCTCGAATTTCTGCGTATGCCCTGGTCACAAATTAGCCCAACCTTTCAGTTGCATCTAGCTACGACATTGGTGGTTTAGGCAAAACCTAGTTCTCACTACGCTCCTTATTGTTTTTTTGCTTTTAGAATAATACATCCGACAATTAATCATAGTTCATTTAGTAACAGAAACTCGAATACATTTCCTTTGGCAATCAGTAGAGACGTTATTATATGATTGAGCGATATTCGATGGATGTGATCAATTATACGAAAGAGACCGAACCTAAATGCGACTTCGACTGCCAAGAAGTATGTCATTAGAGGAAGATCCTTTGATTTTTTGTATGCCTCAGTTAGCTGTCGCCTCACAAATTACGAACTATCTCTTAAGTTCAAAAGTATATATATATAAGATTCTCCATTCACCAGACATAGAAAAGATCCTTAAATTCTCATCTACTACTATGTCCAATAACGTCCAAGACGTCGAAGCTGCGTTGCAAACTATCGTTCAAGCGCCTATTGAATCGCTGCTTATAAATACTCGCCAGCTTTTTGAAGCAAACTCTGCGATTGCAAAGGCAATTTGTTCCCTAAGCTCAAGTTTGTGCGAAGAAATTGGGCAATTCAAACCCTAGTTCAACGATACAGGCAACTACGCTAGTGTTCAGGCTGAACCTCCACCCATTTCAGAAGTTAACACCACGCAAGGCAGTGACCAGGTAACGCTGCACCAATACAGGTCTAGACATGGCCTACCAGAGCATGCAATTATAAGGCTTGCACAGTACTGGATTAAGAAGAGACTAGCGGGAACTAGTCTACTTAATATTATAGATGAAAATAGGGTGTTAGATGATTTCCGTAAAGCTGTAGTTTCAAGTACTCCTGTATTTTTAGCACTAATAAGAAGTATTAAGAAAAGAAGGTCCGCTACCAACTCACGACGCTAAAAAACGCGCGTATGGTAGCTACTTTAAGTGTTAAAATTGCCACTTTCGTTGTCTGTGCATAATAGTTAGTTAGGCAGTATGAACACGTCGACGGCTCTTCGAGGCTTTACCCCTAGGCGGCCACTAGAGTAGTAGGCTGAGCTAGATTAAATTAACTTAATAGAAGTGATTTGAGTTATGTAATGTCTAATAGAAAATGTGTTAAATATTGTAGGCGTCGTAGCGTTGAATGAGGAGGGGTACGGTGCAGGCCTTTCACCGCTGGCTTAACGCCTAAATTGGTTGCCTGGTTTTCTCTGGTTTAGCTCTAACTTCCTGATTGTTGCGCCACACAATCAGGAAGAATTTGATATAAATTAAAGTATTTCCCATTCTATCTCTTGTGCAAATCCACCGATCCTAAGTTCTACAGCGAGGACTATACATTACTTAACTAGATCTAGTATGAGCAAACTTTTTAACATAGAGCCCGCAGAAATTATAGCGTCCGTAAATCAAGAGAACTTAGAGTTACGGAACCAAAGTTATTAACTTCTTAGCGAGCTTCAAGAAACTCAGGACTAACTTTCTAAAGCGTATACGCTAAACGACATTTACCAATATAAATTCTAAGCTTAAGCTTTTCAGATATACGTGGCTAATAAGATAATTACCAATCTTAACCATTATATCTACTTTCTATAAAGCTATATAGCCCATGTCGAACACTAATTAGATTAAGCAATGCGAGCATGTACGGAGACGACTGAGTATTATGAACGGGAAATTGCCGCTGGAAGATGGTCGAATCACCAATGGAGCCAGGAAGCGGCAAACCTTAGTTCTAGCGTAAGGAATCTTTATTACAGTGCTTTCGCCAAGTTTAAGGCTAGTAATATAAGTGATAAATAGAAAAAGGACCTTATATAGAAGATTATGGAAATTAAGTCTACCGTTTTGTTGAAAGAAATTAAGAAAAATAACCTTAAGCAAACCCTTGAGGATAATAGAGCCCGTCTAAAGAAGGTTTGTATTATATCTTCTAGAATAATTAAGACTTGGAACGATTTGAATCGCAAACTTGCTGAGATAAACGTCGTACTTCGCTTAAAGGAGGGAAAGAACGCACGCGCTCTTCGTATAGCTAAGAACGAAAGGGAAAGTTTGTAAATGAAGATTAAAAATGCGGAGGAGGAATTACAAAAGTGCTGAGAAATAGAGGAGTAACTTAAGAAGGCTATAGAGAGGGAAGTATAACTTGAGCGTGAATGTTAGTATTTACTTGCTAAAGCAGAAGATCTCCGAACTTTAAATGACTTCTTTGACATTACATTAGTGGTGTAGTCTTCGACTGTTTTGGATTGTTGTTTAAGATAGCTATTGATGCTGTGAATCGCCTGTTTTGCCTTTTCCTCGGAATCTATATCTTTTAACCCTTTGAAAACATTATTAACAATTTCTATGGCAAGTTCGAACTTGGTATGCGATAGGCTGACTAGTAGCGAGTGTTTTGCAGCCAGAGCATGTCCTTTATAAGTAGCTACCTCCTTCTTTGCCTTATTTGCAATCTTGATCTGTTCTTTTATCCTCTCTAAAGCCTTGATAGCGATCCTTTGATGCTTTTGAACCTCGTCTTTAAGTCGGACCTCGTTCGCAATAAGCTGCGCAATCTTAGCCTTATGGGTGGTGATAGTTTTGATGTATCCTTCATTCCGCTCCGTCTTCTGCAGGTTTGCTTCTAATCTTTTTAGATTGAAAATAGTCTGTGTCTGGTTTGCATCCTGGCGCTTGTATAGTGCTGAGGTACGAGGAGTGATACAAGACCTTTAAGGCTATACCCTAAAGGAAGCAAGGCCAAATGAGTTTGGGAGCTTTATGGATTATGTACGAGGGTTGCAGCATACGCTCGAGGCAGAGGCTAAGAAGTGGAAGAATAAGCTTAACGTCTAGCACAAACGTTTACTAGATTATCAGCTTATCTCTTCCTGAGAAAGCGAGATGCTATGCAAGGCGATCTGCACTATTAATATTGTAGTGTTGTAGCATATAACTAGATTGTTAGCATATATCTAAATTTCTTTTCGGCGTTAATAGGTACCTTTTTCACTCAGTTCACTACTAGCAATGAGTTTTCATCTTCTCGTGACTATCCCCCTTGGTTGACTCAAATTCGATCACGTGTTATGCCACAGTACGTAGCTAATTAGACTTAGGTATTAGCAAAAAATGACAACAAAATTTATGGATTAATTATTCAGACAATAGGAGAGATTATGTGTGAGGAAAAGATCTTGAGCTTAGCCCATTAGGCATGTTCCAAATGCATTGCAGGAAATTGCATAAATGGGACTAGTTAGATACAATTTGCTATATCATTGATCCCGTTACTCTACAAAAAAATAATAACATATTTTGCAACTAATGGCGTATGATTAAAACAGCAGCAGTACCTCGTATAATTACATAAGGATCACAAGAGGCTATTCAAGTTACCCTTTGCGCTAGAAACATGTCTGTCATGCCTCACCCTTACTATGCCTCGCGATTCAGGCGCTTATCCCTAATATGAGTCTATTATATCACTCATCATTCCTGCGGAGAAGCATATAAAACAACTTAAAGAAGTTAACCGCCGAACTTTAACGAGGCAAAAGAGCAACTAGGTACATAGGCTATTTAACTTAGACTAGTTAACTAACTAACTGGTTAGTAATGCTTGCGATCCGTGTATAGAACTCGTATCAAGAATCATATAGAGTAAGGCAAGGATGCTACTATAGATGTGTCAGGACAAATAGGATGGCATAGAGATCATTTTTGACTATAAAAAGAGCTTTTTTATAGGTATATTTAAAAAGAAGCAAGAGAACTCTAGATAATGTACTAATCAGCAGTGGGAGTAGCCGCATTCTTAGAAGCCACTAAGTTTCCAGCACCTTCCCCGGGGCAAACCGATGTAGTAGTCCCATTCCTGCACATGTAACTGCCCACTTGCTCTTTGAAAGTACCAGATACCTCCTTTAGGCCGGGGTACTATTGCCCTTCTCCTTCTCCATCTTTATATACCGTATTACATGTATCATCACTAGATGATTAGAGGCTTCCTTATTGACTCAACATAAGATCGGACATACCTAAAGAATTAGCAGCATAAACCTAAGTCGATTGCAATAGACGCGACATTATTAAGCCTGTCGGCGGCTACGCAGCGGTCGGATAATATGATTGGTGCAGCACATTCGCTCCATGCTGTCTTTGAACAAAAGTGTAACTTCGCCTAGCCGTTAACTTTAATTCTAAGCGCCTAATGTTTTGCTTACCCTTCGCGGGCAATCAGCTTGCTCAACACGGTTATGCTGAAGATCTATCAACATTGTCGATTGGGCGAACACATTACCCAATAATGCGCTTGTAAAACACCAGTGTTGATACCGCATATTGAGGTCAGGTAAATGTTTAATACTAAGCTGTAGACTTAACTAGTAAAGGATGCATTCTGTCCTGCATTATATATTCAAAAACCTGACCTTCCGAGGTTTGCTCTATTTCTATATGCACTTTAAGACGGACTTCAATTTATGCACGCGGACTACTAATTAAGCACCATGCATTTATCCTTAGGGTGTTCAGAACGGCCAAGCAAGTAGTCTAGACTTCAATAGAACTACAGTTAGACTCTTTAACTAGTTCGCATTTAACATTCATTGTAACGGGCTGAACGGCCTTCGCCGCTTCTTCTCGTCTACGACCTCGCTTACCCACCTGCCTAGTCTAATTGTTGCTTAGGCAATATACATTGTATATAGATAGCTCTATAGCCTAGACTCTAGCTCTCTATCGAATATAATTTCTTGTATAACTACATACAAACAGCATCGTAACTCGCCCTCAAATCTAAGGACCCCATATAAATTACAGCCCAGGAGGCTTAAAGCGGCTTTTCCTTAGCAGGACACGTTAATAAGGTAATACTAGGTTGTAACATGAGAGGTAGTTTTGGGCCCTTCGGTTCTATAGAAGCGCCGAAATGAGTTCTTATGTATAACTAGCTAGATCAGAAGCGATTGTTTTGCCGACACGCGCCAGACGAGATAAATAGAAGTAGTATTCTTAAGATACTCAAAAGAACTTATAAGAAAGCATCACTGGATTGCCCAAAACAAGTGTAATAGCGAAATCTATCCATTCTTTATCCCCGTTGAATCTAGTACTACCACAAACACGCGGCCTTGCTATGTATCTCTGATAGTGAGTTCTTTCTGTGATAGCCCTTCCATCACATCAGGAGTGCCATCACTGATGACGGTGTCTTAGCATGAGACAAATCATGTTATCCCTAACCCTGCGACAATCGCTGCCTCCAGCGGGATCCAAAGTGGTTTCTATCTATTTGTGGTCAGCTTCAAGAGACGACATCATTCTACTTGTTACTTGTAACATACGCACTCAAAGCAATCATATTCTGGACTACTTACCTATCGTTTGCTCCCCGGAGCTCAGTCCATTACGTCCATCACTAGTTATGAGCCGAAAAACACTCTACAGTCGTTAGCGATTGCGGCTTCACCCTTACGCACAGCTGCGCAACGGATTTGAGCAGCCCCACCTTCCTTATGTAGCTTAGTACAAGAAGTCAGCAATAGAACTATCGGTGTGATTGGTCAATCCTCGATCTTCTAATGACTGGACTTTTGGAACGCTGCCTACAGGGGTGAAGCCGCAATCGCTAGCGACAGTAGTTACGTCGTGGTGGACTAAACTTCAAATATCACGTCTTTATTTAACATGACTCTATTTAATTGCCTTCAACTCCTAGGTGACACTACGGGCGTTCTAAGAATAGGTACATCGACTCAAAGATTAGCTTAGAGTGATTCTCCCGCCAAAAATGCTAAATTTGGCTACGTCAAGGAAGAGCCGTATATTCGGCACTTGCGTGAAATCGATCGCTGCGTGCGAGCCTGAATTAACACCTAACGAAGATGTTATGTAGTATGCGGCCAGCTGGTGCACAGAAAATTCGTCGCTTGAAAACTGATCTGGGTGAGTTACTTCCAAAGATTGTACACCCGCAACTGTGAGCAACCATTTCCTTAACCGACAGTGTCCTGCATATAGATGAAACAGCTGTCTTAGTGTTAATATAAAACCTAATAAACTGAGCAAAGCGCTGTGTGCTGCATCGCGAAACTTTCTTTTTATACACGTCGTAGTGAACGTTGGTTTTAGAGGAGAATGTGGTAGTGACACGAACAGTGGGTTTACTCTCACCATCCGTAGCACGTCCAATGGTGTCAGCCTGACTTCTTTGCAAAGACGGTCGCGCAAAGAAGGCACATATACCCACAAATCAACCGTACGATCTAGAACATCGTCTACCTTATACCAAGATCCTTTGATAGGATTAATAGACGCTTACATTGGCACACTGAAACTCATAAGAAAGTCTCCCTTCGCATCTATGTCTGAAACAGCGCGAACGCGGCCCAGTTGATACTTGTCACAGTGAAACCGTACAAGGTTAGAATGTCCTGTAGTGCTGAATTCGACTAGTAAGTCGAGCGTTGTCGCTGTCGGCGTGAATACTAGAAATGTGCCCAACAGGTAGATTGCGAGCCTTCCGTTCCTATGAGAATTCAAGTAACGTTCTGTCGCGTGCAATCGCTGCTCGAGTGCATAAGCGCCGTCTCCAAGCAACATTAGTTTCATGCCCTCTTGTGAAAGTCTTTCAACCGCAGGTACATCCCACACTAAATCTCGGATCGGCTTAACATATTTTTCTTTTTCCTTCGCAGTCAAAATACATAACTTCAAGTTAACTAACTTTGCTACGTCGAAGGCGGACACACTATCTAAGATTCTTCTCCGAATTGGCGAAAGAAAGAGAAGGTATCTAAGAGACGTAATACTTCTCTCCACATCGCTACTTGCAATATCTTCTTGTCGGGTATCATTGGCGAGCCTTTGGTCATACAGAAGTTGTGGTAATGGGGACATCTGGAAAAACGGAAAGCTGTAGTTAACCGGTGAGTGGCGACAGCCTGGACATCTTTGTTAGCCTTTTTAGATGGAGTGATTACATAAAGATCAGAGCATCTGTTTACATATATAAGACACTATATTGAGATTGCGTTGTATATATGCTCGGTAGTTCAGGATCTTATAAGCAAAGATTGGGTAGCTATATGTCAATAATATGACGGCAGGTAGGTCAGCCAGCTATCGCATTCCTAGCGTCACGATAAGATGATGGAGAGGCACGTGCGTAGCACTATCAATAACACCTGATCCCCGTACACATCATGAGCAAGGGTTAGTAACCTCTTGAAAACAATAGCCCCTAAGGTATATAAGCTGTTTGAGGGTACAATTGTCCATCATTCGGCTTTTAGCTTTGCAAAAGATGGAAAGGACAACGCAAAAGTAGGTCTTATAGTGAAGTATCTGTTCAACGCTAAGCCTTTAAAGTACCGATATACTCGACTTCAATCCTACTTCACCAAACATCCGCGCACTTCAGTTCTCATTACGCTCTATATTATCTGAAGATGAAAAATTCCAAGCATGCATAGCTATACGCAACGAGATGCTTTCGCAACAAAAATAAGCTGACTGGCTGTTTACAAAACTAAACGAGGTTATGATAGAAGAGTGTTACTATTATAGAAAGAACGAACAGCCGCAGCTAGATTCTCTCGTTAATGCGAAGCAATGAGAGCAATTCATCAATACGGCACAATCCAAGATTAGAAAAAGTAAGCAGTGTCTCGCTCCGCTTGTTAAGACAGCCCAATATTGGGGCATGAATAAGGTTCAACACTACGAGTGGGCTTCGATGAGACTCAAGTACTGTGATGTACTTGCAGCTGCTGCTTCTCGAAATCCTGTCTAGGAAGACGCCCGGGTTAAGCTTAACCAGCTACTTTTGAGAAGGATTACAGAAGGGCGTTTTCTAAGAAAGACATTAAATCCTTTCTACCTAGTCGACTTAGAGCACCTTATTGCTTAGACAGGCAAAACCAACTTTGAAAGGAAAGGCCGCAGAGCATACACTCTGAAGTATAAGACAATTACCCAATCTGATCTGCCAGTTAACTATGTACTTGACCGGTTCGGTGTCATTGCGGCTGCAGCATGTCAATCTACTCCATCAACATTCACCGCGACGGAGCTTAAAGTCCCATATTATCCGCACAAAGTTGCGAACATATTTACAAGAAGTGTAACAACCGTCTTAAATAGCCATCTTTCTTAGCGATGTGCTCAAAACTAGAAAGTATTGCGTCTACTACTTGTGCAGGGTTATTTTGTATTAATTATACTTTCTTTGTTTATATATACGAATACAGGCCATCAGTTGTATCCTATGTATATTAGTCTAATTGAAATGATAACATAAAGTCTCTAATTAAGGTATAGGCTAGAGGGCGCAGGAGAGAATCAAACAATACGTGTATTAATAATGTTAGAGAGTCCATTACTTAGTTAAGTTATACTATGTGAATCTCAATTTTGCGATAAAAAAGACTAGGACAGCATCTTCGCAAATCTGCTAGGACCCTAACCTTAACACTCAATGTTCTGAATAGTGTACACTTTGTCTCCCTCGACGACGCCGCACGCATCACCCCAGCCAATCTCAAAGTCATTACTCTTTAGGTTCTTTAACTTAGCGTTAGGTGCACATTGTGCATCTACAGAATAGTAGCTAGTTTCTATTCTAGGTGCGGTATTCTAATCGCAAATATTAAAAACTAGGTTTTCTAACCTACGATAGAGCTTTTCAGGTAATGCTAAGACGTTGGATTTATAAATATAGTAGTTTTGCCTAGAATGCTTCCTACTATGACGATGTTTAATGTATTCCTATTCACTTCTAGCTAGCTTTGCACCGTACGAACTGCTGCAGGCTATCAAGTCTTTATTATAGCCTTTAGATTTATCTTACTCACCTCCCCTTAGTGACTCGCTACTAGAATCTAACAGTGCAGTAGAACGTGTTATAGAAACGGTTTTAAAGCTTATATAAGTGTGCGTGGTGGTACTGCTAGAACCTAAACTAATCTAAACTACTGCACAGTTCATAAAAAATTCATGCTTATAGTTTAACCAGATCTAAGCAAAGACTGCTGTACCTGTTGGTATATTTAGAGAGACCTTGAATTTAAACACCTAGAGTATGTCTTTGTTCCTATAAGGGCAGTTCCTATAGTATAAAGCCGCGACTTTCTATGTCTAACCTTTATCTATAGAGAATCCAATTTAGCAGCTTCTACTATAGTAAGTTGATCCTAGAACACTAATACTATATATGTGGTCGGATAACTTAAAGTACGCGTCCTAGCCAGGTTCCTATGTAACTTGTGGTCTGCCCTCCTCTGTATCTAGAAGGGCAAGATAACCACGACAATCGCCAGGGGAAGGCAGTGTTAGCTCTCCTTAAGAATTGCAGCATCTAATTAGAAAGTTAAACTCCTTATCCACCTATGTTGTGAAAGAGTTGGCTTCTCTATTACCACCGAGAGGGGGCGGATACTACAACGACATGTGTGCTCGAGCTGTAGTCACTAAGAATACTAGAAGGATTTGCACTACATACATCGTATAATAGGTGTGTAATATACAATATAGAGAGCCCGTAAAGATATCTTAGTTATAAAAATTTAACTCTAACAGGTCTATATAAACACACGCAAGCAAAAGTTTAACTAAGACATTATTTAGTAAGTGTAACAATAGAACGTGAGGCGTATATATTGCCTGTAACTCATTGCTTATAGTGCGGGGTTTCTCTTCGTCGAATATAAACATTCTAAATAGCACGCTATGATATCACCATAGATATAATTATGATGGTAGATGCTATAAATTGCTAAGAATGCTTCTATACATCATAGCATAATAATCCTCTATAATAATAGGAGTGGCACGTTTACAAAGCTATAAATAAAGGTAGGTAAATGTACACCTGCTATATACAAGGGGTAATATCGTAGAGGTAAGAGATAATAACCCCTTAGTTGCATTATGCTGTAAGGTACACAAAGCAAGTTCGTATTATAAGGTAGAACTACCTTATTAGGTATAAGCCTTTAGCAGTTTTCCTGCCGACCACAAGGGTTGTGGTTACACTAAGACGTAGTAGAGAAGGGGACGGCGCAGTTGTAGTGAAGTAGTAGGTATTCTCCATTTAATGTCCTCTTTATTAAGCAGACTCCTACTCCTAGCATTTTTGAATAGTATCCTAGGGCGCTTTATATAAATATTCATTCTTCGATTTGTGGATAGTAATGCGTACTGTATACAGTTTTCGCCTTGCTCTCTATTAACAGATTGTACTATGCCCGTCGTATTCCTTTATATAACGTTATGCTTACATCTGTCCACCCTAGATTTCTGGCATTTTTTCGCATGCTGTCTTTAAGAGTTTTCTAGTTTTCTAAGAACGGGGCATACTCCACCGATCTAGACAATACGAGCAGGTACTCTCTATAATAGGTTGTAGTAGTTGTTATTGTGAGCTTTGATGTTTTGGAATAAATTCTGGAGCAAACTCAGAATAAGAGTAGATCTAAAAGATTAAATAACATACCGGATCTTCTTAGTACCTATCGCGCTGGCTGCCTAGGTTACGATTAAGAGAGTACCACGGAAGACCTCGGATGACGAGAGATATTACTAGCTATTAAGTTAACGCGAACGGCCCGCTACGGAATTGAGTAGTCGCCCTAATTAAAGTTACTTAGAAAAAAAGGTCGATTAATTGCGAGAGAATCTATCTAGTGATAAGTCTATAGACTGCTGCATCGTGATACAATCTTAACACCTCGTTGGGTGGGTACAATAATTTAATTATGTGACAGTAACCGCCTAACCTTGGTTATACTATTCCTACACGTTAGACAAGTAACATATTTTTGGTTTGGCTCTCTAGGAGAGCTTACCTATGTTAGAATGCAGGCTTAATAATACACGTGGCCTTGATTATTAGCTAATTAACTACCTTAAATGCATAATATTAACCTACCGTAAACTAGGGCAATGCGAATAGAACTTCTAGTATCTAAGTAGATAGTGTATTTTAGATTGTAGAGTTGTAGCGGTCTCTGCCACCTAAAGTCCATGTGGTCGGTATGCTGGTAAGGAAGAAAGGGTGGCTCACCCAGAAACTAGACACAAAAGCTATAGATAACCTTCTCATTATTAGTAACATAACTTAATGTGAATAATGATAGACTTATACAACGACAATCCCTTAAAACATACACAAGACTAGCTTTTCCGCTATCTACTTCAAGTATTTTTGAGTATATAGCGCAATGTTCTGCCTTAGTAGTAAGATTAATGCAAAGCGCTTTTCGCGAGGACATTACTAAATGGAAAGATAATATAGCTTGATGTAGTTTGTCGACCTTATAACATATATATACAAGGATTCTAAAAAGACACGTTACGTAGATTTAGATGCAGATTGCATATAGATAGTTAATATCAGACATGTGCGAGCCTTATAACCTTTGTTACAATGCGTGCCAAGAGGTAAGTTAAGGGAATATACATTTAGAAGCCATACTATCTACAATTAGCAGTTCTAGTAGCGGTGTACTTTAGACCGCGGCCTTACAAAATTCTCAGGCAGTTCGGCGAGCGCTTCAATGTTAGGAACTTCTACGTAAAGGTCACAACTATATTGTAAGCAATTAGATATATCGTTGTTTATATAACTGTCATGGTAGTAGTGATGGACTCTAATAACTGGGCTGCTGCTGTCCCTCAAAACTCTTTCTATTAGGCGTTGAGTTTTGGCATATGTCTTTTTTGAACAGACTTAAACATCTTGAACGTGCTGAGTGCGGCTGGACCGCCGTTTACCGCAGAGTAAATAAAGACTTTGTCTGGTATTTTGCGTCGTCATGATGTTCGTAGAAAGGCCTTAAAATAGGAACTTATTGGGGCTAGAAATGTTCTAGCACTTAGAATGCGGGTAAAACAACTTTTAATTAATAGGGTATCTCTTTCTTATAGTTATAGCACAGTCATGAACGAATGTGGCCTCAATTTTAGGTGCAGTAACACAATATAACCTATTCAACACAACCGATAGAGGTTTTCAAGGCTAGAAAGCACAGCACTAACATATTATGGAAAGTAGTACCTATCTTAATACTATAACGAAGTTACATGTTATATACCTATATATATTATACTACACTAGAATAATCAGTTTAGATTATTCTCGTACTTACCTTTTGCTAGTAGGTTAGCTGCGGCCGAGTGGTTATCGCGTAGTATCGACTTAGTGGGCATTAGTACTCACCTCCATTACAAATACTGTCATTAGCGATTATAGCTTCACCCTTACACGCAGCTGCGCAACGATTTTAAGCAGCCCTACCTTCCTTATATAGCTTAGTATAAGAAGTTAGTAGCAGAACTATCTATGTGATTAGTTAATCCTCGATCTTCTAATGACTAGACTTTTGGAACGCTGCCTACAGGGGTGAAGCCGTAATCGCTAGCGACTGTACCTTAGTCGATGGTGTAGGGATTAATACACTTAACGACGAGAGCAGAGCAATTAACTAATAGTTTTATGAAATATTAATGATCTAGACGAACTAGCTACCTATAAGAATTATCTTTTTCTCTTACCCAAAGCTATCTTACACATGCTTAAGTAGCGGGGCTTTAACTAGATTAAAGCGCAAGAGCTCTAACCCTTTCTTTATTATCTAAGCTATATAATCCCCCATCGTCTCCAAGCGCTAAAAAGTGGATTTAGCTATTATCTAGAAGCGGATCGGCTACGATTAGTAGATTAAAGCCTTTATACCGTTGGGGATAGCGAACCCATACATTTTGCGGAACATAGCACCAAGACCAGGCTAGATACTATAAATCTAGTGTTTCTAGATCCTCCTAAAGGTTAGCAATATACATTAGATAACCAGATAGAATTTTAATCAGAGATTATGCTCCTATCAACCAGATAGGCGAGCATAACATATAGAACTCTCGATTACCGGATAAATTTAGCCAGGTCCTATTAAGTCAGCGGCGCACTATGAAGGAAGAGTCTAACTTACCATACGAAGATTACTGCATCTCCCCCTAGAAGGGAATCAGGAATATCAAAAGAGTAACTTTAATCAATGTTATAAGAATTCATAAGTTTACCTTCTTAACCCTTTTATACACGCACGCAGTTTCCTTCCCAGCTTTGCACGACAATCCAGGTTTCTCCATTATCGTAGGAAAATAATACCTAACAAGAGCCTCCTAAATAAGCTGCGCCTAGCTCGTGTATGCTAGCGCCAGTCGTATTTATAGAGTCATAAATACTACAGGCATGCTATAAGTAATTTTCTAGAATTATTCGAGTATAAGCTGACATACTAAAACGTTACCGTACTTCCAGTATACCAAGTAGCATAAGCTTCATAATAAGTCACATCTCTATAATAGCCCTTGCAAGGAAAAGGTTGCTAACCCCAGCCTAGACCTTAATAGTTTGGATCACCATTCAATAGCATGATCAGCTTTGTCACCTATGAATCCCAGTAAAAGGGTGCGGGCTTGCCCACAAAGACATATAAACGAACGATTGCAAATAGCACAAAAGTCTAAGTAGATTTAATTTGCATATTAAAAGTATAAAATGTACAAGAAGAACCTTTTAGGCTATAGTTGCATCTAATTTTAAGCAATGCATCCTATTTTATATCATGCTCTCAGTCATGCACGTGGCACTTAATGTAAGGTCAAAGGGGCATATAAGGTTCAGCAACATAGATGACCCTATAGAGGAAGGTGATCGAAGTTTCACAGAGATTATATTCTAGATTAAAACCCCTAACAACCACCACAATACGCTTCTAACAAACAGTAACAAGTATTCCGGTCTTCTTTTCAAAGGATGGGACATGCTTGCTCTAAACCACGTTCTCATAAGAATGAAACCATCAGCCATATGCCAGTCCGCATTCCGCTTCCAGTAACAGGCCAAGAGAAGACCAAAGAATCTCTATGGGACTTAGTAACCGATGGAAAGTTTCAGGCTAAAGTAGTGGAAAGATCATTCCGGGTTTTCTTACATAAAGATCTTCCTAATTATTAGAAACTACAATTTAATCTCTTAGTAGTGTTAAAGTTTATCTTCGACCGCATCAAACCAAGAAGTGTTACTGTAATCTTTCCAAATAGGCCACTACGTTACCCGACTAGAGATACCGAAGCTCTTTTGAAACTAGCGAGTATTAAGACTCTCCATCAAGGGATCCAACTATGGACTGAATATTTAGCGCAAACCGGCAGCTTACATCTTGAGAATTCTGACTGGCAGAGTGCTTTCCAGAAAACGCGCGAAGGCTATCGCTTCAATCTAATACAGACTAAAGACAAGATTCTCTTTCAAGACAATGACACGCACTCACAAGAGCTTCATACAGGCAAGAATAGAAGAAGTGCCACTGAAGAGATGACCAAGACAATTCAAGATGTTTACAGCAATTACAATTTGGTAGATGAGTCCTCTCATGAGGCTTTGAAGGAAAGAATAAGCCAAAAAGCGAGAGACCTTCTTCCACGGTATATGGAACCTGTTCCTCTTGATTTCGCAGTCCATAACTACGAAAGCCTGATAAGGACATCTTACGATGCCGGCACGGGTATTGGTTTAACAAATGTTGCACTCCAGGCATTCACAGATATCAAAGAATCCTCAAGAGGTGGACTTGGCTCTAAGATCGACATTATCGTCGTTAAGGGTACAGTACCACGAGCTCATGTAGGATTTCTGTTAGAGACCAACATCGAAATTCAAAACAGCATCTACACAAGCAAAAAGAGTAAAAGGTTGCAGGTAATGGATTCTTGTGGCATTTGCTTTGCCATCTTGCCCAACACGGGAGCTGGTCATATCTGGAACAGGTTGAGCTACCGCGGCAACCGCAACAGGGGCTTTTGCAATTCTGTTGAACTGCCTACCAATATCTCGCCGCATGCTGTCACTGGAGAATTTGTGCGAAGAATGGTGCTTGGCTCGGCATATTCAACCGCTGTATAGATATTTAGAGGGACATTCGGTATAGATTTTACTTACTTTATAAATTAACTAGTTATCTACTATATTAAGTAACGTCCATCCCTGTGGGTCGAACATCCCTCCGCAACGAACCACCAACACTGCCCAAGCACCTTACACCCAAGCCGCAGAGGCTCTTAGACATAAATACACATTTATATGCTTACTAGATCTACCTCTATCTATCGCAAGCCTCAAATAGTAAAATTACAGCGATCTAAGGGACATACGTGAGTCTTTCGTGTTGAGCGTGGGAAGGTGCGACACCAAAACACCCCTGTCCTACCTCTTACAGAAGCTCTACTTGCCTGTTCGGAGATTGTATATAACTTAGAGTAAGCTAAAAAATCTTTAGCCACACTATAAAGATATGCAGCCTCTGTTCAGATGCGCTCCGAGTTTTTCCGGCTCGGTGTGCCAGTCCTTCGCATTAGCGAAAGGATTTAAAACGCTAGCACAGCTGGATTGCGAACGCTTAGCGGCCTACGATGTACACCTGCGCTATGCCAAAAGGGTTGAAGCTGTGGCGCAGAGTTCTAGAAGCTTCTATCGGGTGCTGCGTGTTGCCGGCTATTCTTAGAAGCAGACTGGTGTTGGATTCGGTTGGCTTCGCGCTCGAGGTATCCCTCAGTCACCACAACCACGAACATGGATCCAGCCAGCCAGGCGCTCGCGCAACGTCTGCCTGATGGTGTGCGTGATACATTTGCTACTCGATCAGAGCACGGCGATGTCCCTATCTCAACTCTGATCCACCGTAGGCTTGGACGACGCTCACGAGCAGAGCAGGCTCAGAGTCAGCAGTACTTAACTCGAGAGGAGGAGAAGGCGCTTGTAAAGTTCCTGCTACTGATGTCTAGTCTCGGACAACCTGTGCGCGTTAAGTATCTTCGCTCGCTAGCGTTTAGCATAGCCCGCCAGCGGTCCACGAAGAGCGAGTCGATCAAGCGTCCAGGGAAGAACTGGCCACGAGCGTTCGAGAAGCGTCACCCCGAACTCCAGGCGAGAAGGGTCAGATCGATAGACTGGAAGCGCCACGGAAGCAACATATATGAGAAGATAGTAGAGTGGTTCGATGTGATTGGCCAGGTACTACAGGATCCATGCGTACTGCCAGAAAACGTGTATAATATGGACGAAACTGGAGTCATGCTAAGCATGCTTGGCTCCGCAAAAGTCCTAGTCGGCAAGGACGATCGGCAAGGTAGTAGGGGTGCGGGTGTCAAGCGCACTATGGTAACTGTTATTGAGTGCATCAGTGCTGACGGAAGGGCCCTCCTGCCACTCATTATATGGCCAGCATCGACCCATCGCAGCAAGTGGACCACCCACAGCACCCCTGGATGGCACTATGCGCACTCAGAGAATGGGTACAACGACTCTAAGATTAGCTTAGAGTGGCTCAAGCGCGTGTTTGACCCCCAGACACGTGAGGGAGCAGGTGGAAACCCACGAGTGCTAATCTGTGATGGCTTTGGGACTCATGAAACGCTCGAAATCCTAGAGTTCTGCTTTACTAACAACATTATCTTGTGTCGTCTGCCTTCTCACACCTCTCACAAGCTGCAGCCATGCGATGTCGGCCCTTTTGCACCTTTGAAGAGCGCGTATCGTGAACAAGTCGAGCGACTCAACCAAGGAGGCGTAGATATTGTTGGCAAAGAGCATTTTACTTATCTCTATAGCCCTGCAAGAGATCGCGCACTAACTAAAAGGAACATTAGAGCTGGGTGGTCTGCAACTGGCCTGTTCCCTTTCAACCCGGAACGAGTGCTCAGAGATGTCCCTAAACCTCCAGCGGAAGTAAGCAACATATCAAATCCAGGAACCGAGACTGCGAGTGCTGATATGTTGGACGATATGCCCCGTACGCCTACCACGCCAGTAACACCAGTGACGACAGAAGCGCTTACGTCGCTGCATGATCTAATTACAAAGGACACACACATGCTTGAAAAGACGAGCAAAGACCGTCTACAGAGACGCATACAGAAACTGGCAAGCGCGGCCAAGGTATCCTTCGCTGAGCAGGCCCTCCTCAAAGATCGTAATCATTTCCTCCTTCAGATTAATCGAGAAGCCAAAACCCGCCGGTCGACAAAGTCGGTAGTTCTAGGCAAGGCTAAGGTGATGAGTTTCGAAGATCTTGAGGAGGCTAGGGCAAAGCGTGCTGCAATGGAGCAAGCTTTAGCAGGCAAGCCGAAGCGCGGGCGTAAGCGCAAGAGCGACGCGCTAGAAGGATCAACGGTCCTGCGGTCGCCAAAGCCCACAGTAGCGCAGCGGATCGATGCGCCTGAGCTAACGCATGCGCCGGTATCTGCATGGAGAGCGCCTGTAGCTAGGATGTACTAGACCACTTTCTCTAGCTCTGTATGAAGTATTTCGCGGCCTTGCGCAGGCTGGATAGAAAGGGTATTTTAAGTCAAATTTGAACCTAGATGATGTTCACAAATGTTGTATCTGCGTGACTGCTCTCTCATTTGGGGCCTCATGTCCTCGGCAGCTTTCGATGCAGACGCGCTTCAGCCTTGCGAGCAATGCACAGCGCATGCATGGCACGCCTTGCATACCCCACCTGGGGCTTCACGAAGGCTTCACCACAAAGTCAACAACACAGCGAGAGCCGGCAGCCTCAGTTCGCGACATCTTGACGCATCACGGGATCCTGTTGGTACCTTAGCTGGTGCACCTGCTCGTCCTTCTCTCTGTATGCTGACCGTCCATCGGTATCTAGTAGGAAAGCAGCTAACAAGCAACAAGCGCCCGCGCGACTAGGCTACCAAGTTCAACCTTTCGAATCCCGTTCCCGTCGCACATACCTACGATACACCCACACGAACCTATGCGGCTCTTACAGTACAGCGAAAGCGGAGAGCTCAGCATCCACAGCTTCGACGATGGCGACATACCCCCTTACGCGATACTCTCACACACCTGGGGCGCAGATGGCGACGAGGTGACCTTTGCAGACCTCCAGGCAGGCGGCGGCAAGACAAAGCCGGGCTATAAGAAGATCGTCTTCTGCGGAGAACAGGCACGGCGCGACAGCCTCCAGTACTTCTGGATCGACACGTGCTGCATCGACAAGGCTAACAAGGCTGAACTTGCCTTCTCCATCCGATCAATGTTTCGCTGGTACCGCGATGCAGCTCGGTGTTATGTATATCTGTCGGATGTTTGGAAAAGGAAGAGGAAAGCCTGCGACAGAGCTGCTAGGCTTAGCTGGGAGCCTGCTTTTAGGTCGAGCCGGTGGTTTAAGCGTGGCTGGACTCTTCAAGAGCTTCTTGCTCCAGCTATAGTCGAGTTCTTCTCGCAAGAAGGAGAGAGTCTTGGTAGTAAGACATCATTGCAGACAATGATCCACGAGATAACTAGCATTCCGTCCGAAGTGCTCAACGGGGCCCCGCTTTCTCGGTTTATCATTAACGAGCGGTTGAGGTGGGCAGAAGGCCGGAAGACTAGGCGCGACGAGGATAAAGCATATTGCCTGCAAGGCATCCTCGATGTTGAGCTAGCGCCGTTATATGGCGAGGGCGAGGCCGGCGCGTTCAAGCGTTTAATAGACGAGGTCGACAAGCTAGAACGATGCATTCAAGACATACGCCAAACAGATCCGTGCGATGACAAGAAGCGCATTGAGGACACCAAAGGTGGACTGCTAGCAGACTCCTACCGCTGGATCCTCGACAACACCACGTTCAGGCAGTGGCATGAGGACCAACACAGCGGACTGCTCTGGGTGAAAGGCGATCCTGGCAAAGGCAAGACGATGCTGCTGTGTGGTATTATCGACGAACTGCAAAACTTGACGCCGAAACCTACCCTTATATCATACTTTTTCTGCCAAGCGACCGACACGCGCATTAATAGTGCCACAGCTGTGCTACGGGGCTTGCTGTACATGCTTGTGCACCGGCAGCCGTCGCTTGCATCGCACGTTCGCAGGAAGCACGACCACGCCGGCAAAAGCTTGTTCGAGGACGCGAACGCCTGGGTCGCCCTGACAGAAATCTTCGCTGACGTGCTGCAAGATGCAGGCCTAGGCACAACGTGCCTAATTATTGACGCGCTCGACGAATGCGCGACAGACTTACCAAAATTGCTCAGTTTTATCGCGAAGCAGTCGTCTGCGTCCTCTCGTGTCAAGTGGATCGTATCTAGTCGCAACTGGCCAGATATTAAGGAAGAACTGGAGCGTGCTGAGCACAAAATGAGGCTCAGCCTTGAGTTGAACGCCGAGTCGGTGGCTGCAGCAGTAGATGTGTTTATCCGGCAGAAGGTGTGTCGCCTAGCCCAAGAGAAGCGCTACACGCCAGAGGTGCAAGACGCGGTGCTCCAGCACTTAATGTCGAACGCGAACGACACTTTCCTCTGGGTTGCGTTGGTGTGCCAAGACCTCAAAGCGACGCCAAAGTGGGACGTGCAAGAGAAGCTAGCCCAGTTTCCGCCTGGTTTAGACTCACTTTATAGGCAGATGCTAGACCAGATACGCAAGTCTAGTAGCGCTCGAAGATGTCTGCGGGTGCTAGCAGTAGCTGCTGTCCTATATCGACCGGTCACAGTTAGCGAGCTAGTTATATTAACTAAGCAACTTACAGACCTTGTTAATGATCTAGAGTCCGTGCGGGAGATCGTTGGTCTCTGCGGATCATTCCTAACGCTGCGAGACGATACGGTGTACTTTGTGCATCAATCAGCTAAGGACTTCCTTGTTACAAAAGCGTTAAACGACGTCTTTCTAGACGGTATAGAATGTGTGCATCAAGATATCTTCGCGAAATCACTTGCAATTCTGCACGAGACACTACGTAGAGATGTATACAACCTTCAAGCGCCTGGATATGCTATAGAAGACGTTAAGCCACTTCTTCCCGATCCTCTAGCCGTGTCGCACTACCCATGTGTGTACTGGGTTGACCACTTCTGCGACTCGAAACCTAGTGCTACTAATCAAGAAATCACTACAGCTATAGACGTGTTTCTTAAGCAAAAATATCTCTACTGGCTAGAAGCGCTTAGTTTGTGCAGAAGCATGGCCAAAGGGGTAGTCTCGATGACAAGGTTATGGGATCTAGTCCAGGTACGGCTAACACAACTACATCTATACACGGCCTTCACAGTGTAGTTACTAACGTAGCTAGGGACTTAGAGACACGGACGTATTGAATAAGATCGTGTACGATGCACGACGGTTTATTATGTATCATAAGGAGGCGATCGAGAACTATCCTTTACAGGCATACGCATCTGCTCTGCTGTTCAGTCCAGCTGATAGCATAGTAAGAAGGCTGTTCCAGCACGAAGAGCCTAGGGGAGTAGCCGTCAAGCCAGCTATGAGCAACGGCTGGAGTGCGTGCCTGCAGACGCTCGAGGGCCATAGCGATCGGGTTAACTCGGTGGCCTTCTCGCACGACTCGACCCGGCTAGCGTCAGCGTCTTTGGACAGCGCTGTTAAGATCTGGGATGCGAGCAGCGGGACGTGTGTGCACACGCTCGAGGGCCATAGCAGTATTGTTAC